CATATTTATTGTTACTTTGTAAAATGTTTATATATATATATATATATAGCATCGTAGTTTTATTCTAATCAGTTTTTGTATTTTTTCTCAGAAATGAGATATTTTGTGCGGTAAAAAGTATCCTATATGTTGACCCAGATAACCAGCTATATCACAATACCAAATTTCATCAAAATCCCTCTAGTGGTTTTTCTGTGATGCTTTAACAGACAGACAGACAAAAATTCTAAAAACTATAGGTTCTGCCTCTGTAACGATAATAATGTCTACTTTAATAAGATTTTCCAAAAAAATATTTAATGTACAGATTCGACTTAGTTACAATTTTATTATATGTAAAGACTATAGATACAGATTCCCAATAGGTATACCTATATATAAGTATATTTTTTAGAATTTTTGTGTCTGTCTGTCTGTTTGGGAACGCATTACGAGAAAACCACTCGACAGATTTTGATAAAATTTGGTATGGTGATAGATGGTTATCCAGGTCAACATATAGGATCCCCCCCAACGTGCGTTCACCTTGTCGTGGTGGGGGGGCTCAGTAGTAGTAGCGAAGCTAAGAAATGCACAGGGAGGTTGCCCACTTCGGTGGGCGGTGGGAGGTGGCCTTCTTCGGGGGGCGGTGTACCTTGCGGGTTGCTCCTGGTACTTCTCTGATAGCAGAGTGGACCTTGGAGCAACCCCATGGTTGTGGTGGTCTGCTTTGGCAGACCTGCCGTCGGGGCGTCGTAGTTGAATGCGTAAGCGATCCTGCGACGCCCCACTAAGACGGGGGAAGGTTTTGTTGGGTTTTAGTGGGTAGTACTGTGTATTACGCCGATGAGTCCCACACGTCGTGCGTAAATGCATTTCCCAACGTTAAAAAAAAATCAACATATAGGATAGGATGCTCTTTCGCATCTCTGAGAAATCTAAATCTACTAACCGTTAAAACGTAGCTAGTAAATAATAAACTTACAGCGTACTTAAGTAGGTAAGTAGTAGTACCTACGTAAGAAGTTATACTTCTCTGGCGTAACAGAACAAAAATAGCTAAATATTTCATCGTGTATGTCACAAGTCTCTGTTTATAAAAGAAATACTGCTAACTTAATCCTGTCGCTTTCAGCTAACTTCATCAAGTCGCTTTTTGGTTGTCGTTGTGCGCGCGCATCGTAAAAATTGCCAAAAAAATTTAACTTCAAACATATTTACAAAAATAAAAAACCCGACTGCGTAAAAAACGAACTAAAAAAAAATTGACGAAGAAACATAGTATTATGCTGTCGGAAACATGTTTTATAATATAAAGCTGTGGAAATTTTAGCTGAGGGTCTTGCTACGTGTCTCCGTATGGATCCTTCTACATTTTGGATCACTAGATATTCATCTCATTACCTATTATTCTTTATTTCTTGGTTGAAAGTAGAAACTAACATTAATTCGGTTAAAGTGATAAATACCTATATGAAATTCAGCAGTACGTATATTATAAATATCAAAGAGAAATGCCATACAATTAAAGTTGAGCATTGTTGAAATAGTTGCGATCTGCGTCCTGCGCGTACGCCGGTAGTCGGCCCGTATTAGTATTTTTGCGAATAAGCAAGTATGCGCGTTGCGACTGCGCGGCACCGGCAGGTGGAGAGTGGAGTGAAGGCGGCGCGGGCGGCGCTCCGCCTGCCTGTCAGTCCCTCGCGATGCGTATAGTGAGATGAACGTGTTGAGTGTGCATAATATAAAATCTTCGAAGTTTCGTGTGTGAATGTCCAATGTTTCCATGCAAGGTGCGGGGGCGGCGGGACCGGTCGACGGTCGCACGCCTGACCCGCCGACCTTACGTACCGTTCACTGTACGCAACACTATTCTCGTGATTCTAAGTGCATCTTCCAAACGTGAAATGCAATAGATAAAAACACCTTATGTGCTAAAAATCTAGGGACCTTGTGTGTGAAAGGTACTCTCATCAGTGGTTAGTCTGACTTGATATGGTGCCAGTGTGGATAATTTAAAACATGTATGTCATATTGTATTGATACATAAATATTACTTTGAATTGAAAATAGATAAGTTGCATTAGTCTTATATGATAATATTTTGTGACCTATATTTATTTTTGTCGCCCTGTATAAATAAGGTTTTAAATAATAAATTAAATAGCTTTTGATTTTTGACACCCCTACATAACGTATTTTTGTATAATCATGAAAATGTTAAATATCTATATAGTATAGTTTATTTTGTAGCATTTGTTGAGGGGAGAATTTATAATTTATATATACACAATTTAGTGAAACTCTGTGTTCGTCGGTCGTGTTTAACTAAAACCTATTAAATAAAAGTATATTAATTATGATTTATATTAATTATGAACACTGATAGAGACTTTTGTTGAAACGGCAATTATTAAAAGTAATGGATCAGATTTACACATGTACCTACCTAAGCAAAATAAATATAATGATACTTTTATCATTTTATGGGGTAATAAAATTTTGTTCGATTAAAATTTTACTTTAATCTGTTTTATCACGCATTGGAGAAAATACAAAAATTTATTAATATTTAATCTTTAACCTGTCCCCAGGTGTCATTAAAAAGTCAAATATATGTATTTATTTTTACTTCAAAACAGGGTTCGAAACGATAATTATCACTGATAATTATCATGATAAATAGGGGTTGATAATTATCTTTGATAAGTATAATTGAAAATATTTTATTTGTAACTCTTCAAATTGTCGATCAGCAAACAGAACTCTCCCAATCAGCTCAAAAAACTCAATCAGCAAACTGAGTTAATGCAGTTGAGGAGGATGAGGATGATATTTCGATCATTAAGGAGTCTGCCTACTACACCGTCTTATGAGACGGTGTAGTAGGTATGCCATGACCGTACTATGAACGTATCAGGCACGGAAATAAGCGACACAGACTAATAGTAGTCCGTGTCGCCCACTAGAACGTATCATTCGCGTATCAGCCGCGTATCATCCGTGTGTCATATCCGTATACTTAGTTCAAGTTTCTTAGTCGTAGTAGTTCACTTGTGTTTTCGCGTGAGGCAGTCGCGTCAGAAAGAGCGAGTGAATATTTTTGTTACGAAAATTATTTCCTGTACCTAGACGATGGCTATTAGTAACTTGTCCGACAGAGAATTAACAATGAATGGCTACATTGGTTTAGACGAGGAAGACAGAGAATAACATCAGTCGATCACGACATTATTAGGTTCACGCCGTTTTAAAAAAATAATTAAAAGAAAATATTATCACTAGAAGACAATTATTGTTAACTTTCCACGCACGGCACGCGACGGTGTTGGTCAGTGGCGGAAAGGTCTTGGTCGGTGATAGAACGGTCTAGTGGGCGTAGTCTCATATTTTTCAATACGAAGAATATTTTTTTGCTTGACACGGTCTAGGACCGTCATAGTGTGAGACGGTGTAGTTGGCAGAAACCTTTAAGATTGAGACCTTTAATTTAATTAAATAGTGTCTATATAGTTGGTTAAATTTATTTTGTCTTTATTTCCAAGTTTGTATATGTCAAAATAATAAAAAAAATATAATAATAAAAGATTACCTTGATTGTTAAAAGTGTATAATTTATTCTAACGTAAATTATGTTAGCAAATGGTCAAATACCAATACCTACACAAGGATTGCTAAGTTTTTATCTGTTTGATAATTATCGGATAATTATCTGATAATTATCAAAAGATATATTTATCTTGATAATTTCATACCCTGCTTCAAAATATGTTGCGTTTAAGTTAATTCATTTTTAACTTAAAGTTGACTAAAAGCTATACATACTTTAGTATAAAGCTCTTCAGATATAAAAAGCTAACAAAAGTAAAATAATAAAATAAATGTATATACTATTTTGTTTTTGGAAATCGTGAAAAAAAACGGAAGTCATACCAGTTTATTAATACAGGATCAACAGGCCGTGGATACAATGAGATTTTAAAACGTAATATCTAACTCGTAAATTAAATACAAAAGGCTTATTAATAAGTAAATACATCGTTAAGCAAGTTATTAAACAAGACCTAAGGAAATCTCAGTGACTAATAACCACTTAAAAGAAGGTATCAAGGTCTTCCATTTTCAGAAACCACAATGCATCTGCTTAAATATTTTTAATATTCCATACAAACCAACCCTAACAACATTTGGTACATACCTAATTTAACTTTTTTCTAATATTGTGTAGTCAATATACCTATTAACTACAAAGTTATTCATTCTCAAAAAGTAAAACTTATTACATTTTGAGGGACCATATTTATTTAACTGTGCTTAAAGAATAAATAAAAAAATGTTCACATAAAGACGGATCGCCTAGTAACAGATCATATTACTTACCCCACTAAGTCCTTAAGTTAAGCTATTAGTAACGCCTTTAAAGAAAAAAATGAGAACACGTACACTTAAATTCATTCAGTAAACCTTAGGGGAGATTTTGTACAACCGCGGACAGATCCTATTGGCCAAAAAAGTTCTTCGCATTACCAATAGGGATCTAAGGATAAGGGTCGCGCCCATCGCACTGTGAACAGATGCGTTAAAGGTGCAATGAATTATCTGTTTGCATGTTTTGTAATCTCAGTAAGTAAATACTTAGTAGTTGAAATAATGTCACCTGCCTAGAAATTAAATAACACCTAATCAATTTTTTTATAAATCCTTTAGTATCACACTTATTATAAAGTTGCTAAAGATGAATGTAGTTTAACGATATTACAGAATTTTTTGTCGATTTATCGAAGTCCGAGAATTATAATATAGTGTTTTAAAAGTGACATGCAAAAATATAATTAAATCTAATTTTGCGGAATAAGAAACTTGGTTTTGTTTATGCTATAGTTCAACAAAAAATTAAAAATGAATTATTGTTGTCCATAGGTTGGCATGCAACATTGGGGCCTGCAGGGCTCGGAGAAGGAAGCAGCGGCTTCATGACTAGCATGGCGGAAACAACGTCCATTGAGCACAGTCCTAAATATATGCGTAAGCGGAGACGTCTGTCCCGTCTACTCGATAAACTTGCTGTGCAAATAAGTAACAATAATCACTATCCGCTACCTCATTGGCTAATGCTCGACACTCCCTGTTACGAACCGAAGGCGCCTGAAGACGTACCTCTCGATCTTTCTCTCAAATCTGAGGCATCGAAATCTTCTAATGAAACGTCCGGATATATGTGTGACACTTGCGGCCAGACGTTTGCCGTACACGACCGTCTTGCCAAACATGTTGCTTCTCGGCACAGAGACAAGGCTCCTGAAGCTGCTCGAGCCTACGAGTGCGAAATATGTCGCCGTAGATTTGCCCGTTCCGACATGTTAACCCGACACGCACGTCTTCATAGCGGCGTAAAACCCTACTCGTGCTCTGCATGCGGACAAGTGTTTTCGCGCTCAGACCATCTGGCTACTCATCAACGAACTCACACGGGTGAGAAGCCCTACCGTTGTCCAGCTTGCCCATACGCTGCATGTCGTCGTGACATGATTACCCGACATATGAGGACACATTCACGTAAACCACAGCCAACAGAAATTTAAATTCGACACCTAATAGCGTCCATAATTGATTGATTTTTGGATCTTGTTAATTGTTATAGATATTAAAGTTAATGGTACTTATATTCTCTATTTATTCCGCTTTAAGGTAATATTATAATGTATATAATAAAAAGATTGTTTTGTTTTGCATTGTAGGATGACGAGGACTTCCTACGTACTCTGCTGTCATGATAGATAACATAGGTAAGACATATCACATTGCATTTGGTTGCAGAATTTAACTGCGAATCCTATTGCAAAATTGCGAATTTTTAAATACTTAATGCTGAGCGCAATGCGATGTGTCTGATTGAAAATTCATTATTTTGTTTTATTACTTATAATATATATAGATAATAATTAATCAATTGTAGTTTGTGTGTGAGAGTTATTGTTAGCATTTTAAGACAATCTCGTCCGTAAAATTTAACTTCATGTCTAATCTATGTGTTCAATAATATACGTAAATTATGTCAAGTAAAAATGAGCCGCTTGTAGTTGTAACTTATGTTGTAATAGCAGTTATATTTCGTGTTATATTTAAAATATTAGGTACGTCATATATTACTAAAGGTTAGCTATGCGCCATTTGGTATTTCGTGGGAATATTTGATAATTTAGTATATAAGAATGTCCTTTCCTTTGACGCTATTGGGATTAATTTCCTTCAGATACATCTATAAATGTTATATAATTAATTATACAGCGCCATAACAAGCTGTTGATAATTAGAGTTAAAAAGTTAATCACAAAAGATATAACGCTCGTTAGGTACACGTTGATTTTGTTCAAAGTATTTGATGTTTTTAATTAAAAAAGGTGTTACGTTTGCTTTAATGTATTGCAAATGCATAAATGTAGATTTAGGCTTGCTTGTTTATCAAGTTGTTACAACTGCTTATTCAATATTTTACATCAATATCGTACACATACCTGTACTAAGCTTCTCGTTATAAATTCATAACGAAACACGGTACACTACGTTCTTAAATTCTAGTATTATTAACATTTGTATGTTCTTAAACATTAGTGCATCTGTGGACTTTTAAATTGTTTAGGAATAACATAAGAAAACTTAATAAAATTAGTTTTATACTTCATATCCCACCGTAAAAATCATCGATCATCTTGTTTTATAAACATATAAAATTATGGACACACGTTATTATATTTATATACGTAATAATGCAATTTCGTAAAGGATGTTATAGAAAGAATATAATTAATATTATTCCATAACATCAACATTTTCTATATACTGTCGCTATATAGGTACGTATGAACTATGAACACATACATAAGTATTATCTACTAATTACTAGGTACGTGGTGATTAATAATGAAATCGTATTGATTTTTTTACGGTTTTATTGGCTTCGTTTTAACAAAATATAACTTTCTATAGATGCCGTTTAATACATGAATGTACAAATAAAAACATTAGATATGTAAGTGCATGTTTTACCTTACCTTTCCACCTAGGTGTTTAATAGATGTTTTAATTAACGTTTTACACGAAAAACGTGTGTAAATGAATAGCGAGTGTCTAATTGTAATCTTAATCTCTCAACTTAAATGACAAACCTTTGGTTAAGTTATTTTGTGTTTAATTCGTTAATACTATGATTACTTAACGTTAAAAAAATTAAATATCGTAAAAATATAATAACTTAGTCTTAATATATTCGTATATGATATAGATTAAGCTTTTGCCGTTATTTTATTACTGTGATAATTAATCATTTGTTTTATTATACTTAATTATTAACCTATCTGCTGTGTTTGAACAATATTATGTTTAGGTTTTTGCTATTTATCTTCATTAAATGTATGATTTTACATTCCTTTGTTTTATTTTTATACTGGTAATCACTGTAGGTACAAGTTACGTAGGTTTTATTTATATTTGAATTGTATTCAGCCCTTTTTAACGTCCCACTGCTGGGCACGGGCCTAGTATCTACAAATTAACTTCGTAATAAGGAAAATAGAAAGGGGATAAGATGGTTGACTTATGCCCATTTTCATTCTTCAGGAGACAGTGTGCAAATTTAGTAATTTGTCTTTATATTAATTCGTCCAGGACAAATATGATTCTTTTAAACGCTCGTCGTCGTTTTATTATCATAGTGTATATTACCTATAGCGTGGTTCTAGTACCTACGGCAGAAGAAATGAAGCGTGTTCCTTATAACATTTGTAAAATATCTGAGAACAAAGGGTTCAGAAATCTTAATCTAAACTAAGTTATTTTTTCTTTAATTTTTTTATCTATTTTTATCAACTAAGCACAAAAGCACATGAAAAATGTTTTACTTTTTATAGGGCACACTTAATATCATGTTAGGTATTTACATAAAATACAAGTGTGCTTACATTAGATAACATCCTACAAACGGTTATGAATATAAATCTAATAAAAAAACAGGAATCATATATTTTGATTATTTGACACAGAACATATAAATATAGAAACATAAATCCCACCAAAAACATTTTCATATAAAATGTTTCCAAGACGATTCCATATGGCTCTCACTGTCAAAAAGTTATCAGATCTCATGTAGAGCCAAGCTTCTAACTCTACACGCCCTAACTTTACAAACTCTACACCTTAGTCAAAAGATGTGGCTTGGCCGTATCGGTTCTACAAGAATTATTGCTTATGTACTAATACTAGCTTATATACCAAATTTCAGCTTTCTAGGACTTCAGAAAGTACCCTAAGAATTTTTTATGATCATCAGTGAGTCAGTGACGAAATCGGAGTTTTTTAGATATTAAAAAAATCTAAAGTATAAGAACTATGCAATTGAAACTTTATTTGCTTAATAAATCTACTGATATCGTATCTCGAGAATTTTGATCTGGTATAATCCAAACCCAAGTTAGGAGGGTTCAAAAAAACGAAGAAATGCTTCGAGAAAAGGTAGGTAGTGCCCTTGCGCTTCGCTTGGCTCGTCTTGGCGGGGGCTACGGTAGTGCCCTCGCTAGATATAATATAAAGTTATATTATATAATTACAGGGTGGATTTTTGAGACGGGATAGTAAGGGCAGGTACCTTAACTGCTATAGTTACAGGAAAACGTTCCTAGGAGACCATCCATAACTTTTTGAAATATTCTGAACTGCATTCACAGATTTTGGAAAGAATGCACAGTCAGAGAAAAAAGTGCATTATAGAAGTTATACTTCTTTTGGCACGTTTGGAAAAAATATTTAGGATGCGCGCGCACACAGACAGCCAAATAGCGACATGATGAAGTTAGCTGAAAGCGACATGATAAAGTTAGCTGCATTCCTTTTACAAATAGAAAGTTGTGAATACGGGATGAAATCTTTGGCTATTTTTGTTCTGTTACGCCAAAGAAGCATAACTTCTTACGTGTGTACATTATACATATATTACACACACACACGTTTTATTTTAATGATAAACTAGTCAAAAAATACTGAAAAATTAAATGTTAATGACTGATGTATTAATGACATGTAGGTATACCTATATATTATTATACCTATGTACATTATACGTGAATGAGAGTGAATTTTAAAACTATAAAAATATCTAAATCCAAACGTAGTTAGCGGGGGGTATCAAAATGGAGTTATAAGAAGCAATCACAAAAATATATAATATGTAGGTAGATAGTTAAAATACGTTGCAAAACTCTCAACAAGAATAAATATGCGTTTACACTGGACGGTGTTTATCTCCGACTTTATAATACTATTTTCCTTCGTTTCGTGTTCACTTCTTTTGAGTTCGCTTTTTACCCAGTCAGGAATAACATAAGAAAACAGTTTTTAATTATTTTTTTTAACTCAGTTTATAATTTTTATTTTAATCAGTTAAACACCATAGGCGTGGAATATGGATAAATAATAATTTAATAAATCATAATGTGTAACTTTCCATCTTTCAAATTATAAGTAAGTTAAGGTAATAAATGAGTGAAGTGAAAATTTCCAATAAGATACCTATACAAAAACCTATACCTACTCACGCGCTTAGTAATACTATCTACTAGTATAGATAATATGATCTGTGTTAATAGAATATCTACGTACAAAAAAATAAAACAATATGGCTATTAAACAATGTTCGAGAATAAGAAAGAGATCCAAAGACGATAACGCCAACTTATGATCTTTTGACCAGTTTTTAGTTTTTCATGTTATACTTCAGATGTAGTAGGTACGATAGTCTTATTTGCAACTTTAGTTTAACTACTTATATATATAGGATGAGAAGATCTATCATATCCACAGTACTCACTGTGTTATATTATTGAGAGGCTCTGTCTACCTCGTATATGTGAACAGATTCTTTTACTACACAGAAGATGATCCTTACTGATATGAACTAAATTAAATGTTTACAAACATAGGTACAGTTATAGTTAAGATATTAGAGTAATACATATATTCAAGTTAAAACAAAAATATTGGAAAGTACCAAGAAAATTACAGAATTATAATTATCGTCATAAACTTCTCCTTTACTGTCCAATTAGAATCAAGAGTGAAAACTGAAGAAATAGTTCAGATTTTCGACATGATATTCTCTTTCTACAGTCGTTATAGCTAATACAAAATCTATGGAAATGTTTCGATATGACATATAGGTATTCTAAGCATATTGTGGTGGTCGGAATATGTCATTCCCATATACCGTACCTATAGTTTTTAATATCTAGTTTAATTATTAGTGATATCGGTTATAGATATATTATAGAAATTTATATTCCGACACAAGAATAAAAAAATAATTTACTAAAATAAAAAAAAACCCTGACTGAGTAAAAAGCGAACTAAAAAGATGAAAACAAGTTGACGCAGAAACGCAATGAGTGTTATGCAGTCGGATACATAGTAGTTAGTACCATGTACTTACATGTTTTATAGTTTTTACTAGCTGTGTCTTTCTACGTGTATTGTACGTATTGTAATTTGTAGGTACTTATTTCTACGACTGCATACTGCACTTTTCTAATACTACGTTTCTTTGTCAACTTGTTCTCATCTTTCTAGTTCGCTTTTTACACAGTCGGATTTTTAAATTTTATATTCTTTTATTATTTAGTATTTACAGGTTTTTAGTTTTGGTCAGTTAGACTTTTAGTTTTATTTAACAACTGGCGACTCACCCTCGCTTTGCTCGGGTTCGTCCCTAGGTACGTTTTAACGGTTAGTATAAATTACAAATCTTTGAATTTCTCGGCTTTTTTGTTCTATAATCTGCATGTATTATACATATTAACGTTCCTCATGAATCACTCTATCTATTGCTGAAAACTGCATTAAAATCTGTTGAATAGTTTAAAAGATCTAAGCGAACACACAGCGGAAGTGACTTCATTTTATACTATGTAAAGATTTCTTATCCTAAATTATCTTAAACGTATACGTTGTATATATTTTTGTAATCGCCTCTTAAAATCCTGTATTTTGATAATTCACTCAATTGATTCGGATGATTTTTTTTTTCAAAACCTACATATTGGCCCCTGGAATCCGGAATATACCTTATGACACTCACGTTATCAAGACGAAAGTAACGACCTATGAATCCTCAAAATCAGTTATGCCGTTTAATAAAATTACGAGGGAACATAGAGTCGGACATACATACATGATACATACATACGTGATACATACATACATGATACATACATACATAAGTACATAAATAATAAGTGTAATAAAGTCAAAACCATTCTTTAGGCTTCGACGCAGTTGGGTAAAAATGCAGGAGGAATCATTATATTATTTTCATTTAACATGTCAATATTGCGGTGTCTATTTTACTTTACTGAACCAGCTTTCGTTTGGCTCTATCTAATATCCTACAGTGAAGCTATACGGTGTACAAAATAAGGCTGGATCTTCTTTAAAGAGCTTTTAAGTTGTACATACCTATATTAAGTATTAAAAACAAATAGATATGGTACCTAAGATGTATAAAAGGCAAACATACAATTTTAGTATGCTTTAATCTGATTCTACTAAACCTATTTAAATGAGATTCGCTTCATATATGACTGGATGAGTTGCAATCGTAGTCTTTTGATACACTACCTTTAACAAAAGAATAGTTAAATTTCTCCTTCAACGATATTAATCGATTTAGTAGGTAAACAGTTTGAGCTTTAGTATTGCACGCTCTTTTATGAACTTAATTTGTACAAAATTACAAATATAGTTATATAATATACTAGTTATTCCTACCCAATAGAATTTCTCACGTAAGGAGGACATTATACCTACATTGTTCTAAATAATAAAATGTGAAACGGAAATTTACATATTTTTAATTTTATAATTATATTTTTACTAATGAATAAACAAAATTAGACTATAATGAATTTCATTTCTTTCTGTAATTAACTTAAAATCAAATTTTTCAAATTTCGCGTACCTTTACATCTTTATCAGTGTGTGCTATGAATCAACATGCTAGCATGTTTTGTGAATTCAAACACTCCACATTGGTTGATTCCACATACGAACTTTCATCACCATTTTCACCCCCTTAAGGGATGATTTCCGGGATTAAAAGTATCCTAAGTCCTTCCTAGGGTCTCAAACTATCTTCTTACCAATTTTCATCTAAATCGGTTCAGGAAATCCAGAGATTACCCCCTACAACGTCACAAACTCACAAACTCACAATTCACAAACTCACAAACTTTACCTTTCTGTAATATTAGTATAGATAGTATAGTATAGACTAACGAAGGATTTTTAATCGTTGTCCATGTCGATATAAGAACTGTTTAGTTATAGCCCTCTAGGTAATATTTATATAAAGCAGCTCTCATCATTCGTTGATAAATCAGCCAGTGGAGTATCTATTAATATTTTATTATTTAAGTAATAAGTAGTTTTAATGTCTAAACTCTTAAAAGTATAGTAAATATGAAGTAATAGTATTATTTTTAAAATACACAAAATACATAGCTATCAGCTGTTTTAAAATGCATCTTCAAAATTATCTATTCTAATCCTAATCGATAGCTAATTTATATTCAACTAGAAAAGCACAAACAGATCTATCCCACGGGAACCGTTTACTTTTCCGGGATAAAAAGTAACCTGATGTTTGACCGGTAATACCTACCTTTAAAGTATCAGCATGCAAAATTTAACTAAATTAGATGCATAAGTGTTTAGTTTTGCACACACTTTGCTGTATAAGTTACTATAGTTTTTTACTATCCCACTTTTGTTGACCGGGGATATAAGGTACCACCATACAAAATTTCATTTAAATCAGTCTTACAGTTTCGGAGATTAGCCCGTACAGGCAAACAGACATACCGGCCAAAAGACAAACGAACAAAAATTTTAATAACTATTGGTGTCTATATTGTGTAGGTACATAATACGTTACGAATGAAAAGTTTCCAAGATTTTGACCGGGGATATGAGGTACCACCATGCAAAATTTCATTTAAATCGGTCCAACAGTTTTGGAGATTAGCCCGTACAAACAGACAAACTGACAGAGAAACAAAAAAGTTGAAAAAAATCTGGATTTGTTCTATTTCTCTTCTTACACCCCCTTTTTTCTATGTGCAGACATTCGACCTCTACAGTTTTATTATAGTATTGATATAGATTGGATATAGATGTTCAAATAATAAATACGTTGTGAAACCGTGTACGTGATGGCCAATACTATGCAAAATGATGTCAATCAATTTTTGACCTAATTTAGAAAGTGTTTTTTATTCTTCTTGGTGAAAATTAATTGAAATGTAAACCGGTAAAATTTAGATATTTTATAATAGTAATTAGTAATGTATTTCGTTTATTTTGTTTAAAATACCGCAGTATCAGTTTGTACAAAAAAACCTACTTTTTTACTATAATAATGTTATTATATAAAATCTGAAATTAAGCTGTTTTTTTCGCTTAAGATTCGTTCCGAAAAACATCGACATCTTTAAGAGATATTACAGAAAATGAAAAAATTAACAATATTGAAAGATTACAGTTAAAACGTAACGTAGATTCAGCTTTTTCGATTTGTGGCAATAACTATAATAGCATTAAATAAGTTAAGTTCATTGTATGATCGAATTAAAGCACGTTTAATTTTTCAAGCAAATAAAAATTCAGCTTCTGCAAATTTTGAAGTGTGGGATTTACTTGAGGTGCTCAATAAAACAATTACTGCAGTCCCTCAAGCGCTTAAGGCACAAAAACGTAAATTGGTAAGGTTCGACTAATATTTTTAGCACTTAATCTTTAGATTCGATATTTTTGTTTTAGCAGTATATACGTACATATCTATCTTTTCAGGAGGATAATAGCAACATTAAATGTAATGACGGCGTTGAAGAAGAACCAGGAAAAACAAAATTTAAAAATAATCTTATTTCAATACTTTTAAAAAGGGTGTTCAAACCCGTGTCTAAAAAGTGATCTTGAATTTAGTATATCAAAAAGGTTGTTAAACATTTCTAAAAAGCTAATAGTTGCATCTGTGTTTTGAAAATCAGGCATATTTAATTGTTGCGAACAAAACTTAAATGTATCAGCTACACTTTGACTTAAAGTTTAAGTTTAACGCTAGTTTCATGTTAATAAAATATATAATCGTTGAATTTCTCTTTTAATGTCTTCTAGACAAATAATTTATTAAATTAATCATATTTCGCGAGACATTGAGTTCATTGAATTGTAAAAAGTAACCCAAAAAATATATATTAAAAAAATATTTTACATTACTATTATTTTATTATTGGCTCGGTCCGGTCTACTTTTTGCATAACATGGACGATGTTATGCAAAAAGTAGAGCCGCTATGACTCAGCTGTCATAGTAGACATTACAGCACGCGCGTAAACCAATCCCTGCTTTCGGTCTGAATTTAAACCAATCACCAAGCATGTCTGTTTGTAACCTCAGAAGTGATTCGTATTTTAATCACGTCGTTTTGATTTGAAGTAGGCCACTTTTTGTGTGGAATTTGTTCTGAATTAGACTTCCTGACTTATTATTTATTCGTAGAGGTGAACACACGTTGGGGGGTTATTAAAAAGAAATAACCTTTTTTTTAACGTTGGGAACTGCATTTATGCACGAGGTGTGGGACTCACCGGCAAAGCCAGTATTACCCACTAAAACCCAACAAAACCTTCCCCCGTTCTTAATGGGGCGTCGCAGGATCGCTTACGCATTCAACTACGACGCCCCGACGGCAGGTCTGCCGAAGCAGACTACAACAATTTTGTTACTATGTTTTATGGTTTAAAAAATATTTCGGTGGAAAAGAATGAGTGGTTCACTACATAGTTCGGGATTTTCGACTAAAAGGTCATCCTTGTATTTTTTGTATGAACTATAGCCGATGCTACAGATTAGTAGAGGACTTATATATAGTTTTACCCAACTTTGAATGCCTTGTCAATAACAGTCTTCTGTCAGTAAAAGTCGGTGACTTAATAAAATAAAAATCATATTTATTATATGTAAATTTTAATTAAGTAATAATTATATCACAGAGTTATATTAATAAATATTTACAGAATATCTGACCAGTGAAATATTATTTTAATTCAGAGAAAATAGATTTTATTAATTGTATCGAAAGTATATAATTTAGTTAAAGAAATAATGATTTAAAAATAAAACAAAGTTATCGCGCTTTTGGCCCAGAAGGCACTTTAATATAAAAAAATGTGTTTTTTATAGGAAAACTTGACATATTATTTTACCAACTCTTATTCTGTATCTATTTCTAAAAGATAATATAAATATTACATATTATATAGTGTAAAAGTGACCTTATATTATAAACTATCGTGTATTGATAAATTATAATGTATATAATAAATATTTTTTAAATACTAGCAACACTGTTTTGAATTTTGTACGTCTTGTAGTTCTCATGTCCGCCATTACGGCGTCACAATCGCTTCAAAGAATTGATTGAAACGCCCTCGTTGAGAAAATTTAGAAGCTCTGCTTTTAAAGATTCAGGTATAAATGATTATTTTCATAATAATAAAGAACTTCAGTGAAGTGTTTATAGCTATATACTTTTTCATATCGATATTGTAAACGTGGCCGTTCCTAAATATGTAGAGTGGTTGCTAAACTATTTAATATTTTCCTATTTCTATCAGCTTACTGACGACAGCGCCGTCTGTGATCTTTTTCTTAGCATTTCAATTTTATGAGTGGCGGTAATTTGTTATTATATTGTAGTGATAGTGTCTAAAGATTTTGAAAATTAAGTGCATTGAAATGAGTTTTGGGTATGGTTGAGTAAACTGTGTTACATTGTTAGTCGATTATAAGATGGCGGACACGGCCTGTATAATTTCGTGGCATAGAAATATCACAGCGATTTTGCACTCATATCTTTAATTTATACATTATATTATGTAAATATTGCAATTAACAATTGAATTATATACTCTCATATATAAGGTACAATATTATATATCAAAATACGTTTCGCTAATCGATTTTAAGTTAGTAATCAGCGTTTCTTACTTATGTTTATATTTGCAAAAAACTTTTTCTGTTAAGTTAATATAATCAAAGAGATACAGGGTTATTTATTTATTTAAAGGGAAATGGATGAAAACATATGTATGGGTAGTGCTAATCAAGTGATTGCTGAAAAATCAATACTGTACCAATATTTTATTCCTATTGTAGGAATTCTAGTATTTTATATTAATTATTTAATATGTAACAAAAAAAGACATTAATTTTTAAAACATTTTTTTTAGAAATATGCCACCACCAGATAAGAAAAGTGTTACTAAAGGCAAAACTATTCTTCAATCTTATTTAAATTCTTTTGATCAAGATAATGAAACAACTACAGTGATTACGGGTAAGAATTTCATTTAAAAAACTCAAATTCAGTTTACCGAGCTTTATATATATTTTTTTGATAAGCCAATAAAACTTCTATACTTTTATAGTAAATGGAAGCGGAGATGAAGAGGCAGACACAGGCGTTACTTATTTTGTAGATGAGGAAGGCCGTTACTATTACCAGCCTTCTGGTGACAGCCAAAATCTTGTCTCAATACCAACAGAAGTAACACAAGAAAATGAAGAGGTAAATGATTATGCTTTTTTTAAATGATATTATTGTAATACTAGTACTATATTTATATTTTTGTATCAATTTTAACAAACAATTTATGAAATAAGTCACTTATAGTACTTGATTTGTCAGGAATACTCTAAAAAGTTTGCTTGTTAAAGATTGCAGAGGAAACACAAATGTTGGTTGAGGGAGAGAATTATCAAACAGTGACATTGGTGCCATCAGAATCATCAAATGGTGAAGTCAGCTATGTGTTAGTAATGCAAGAAGAAAGTAAACCAGTTATGAATATTGATATTAAGGTGGATCAGGTAATCTTTTATTATATCACTGGTAGGAGACATGTGTTTTTTTATTTTCCGTCTTGGTTCCAAAGTATTGTTTTTTTATTTGCATTAATTCAATACTGTTACATTAGCTGCTTATTATTAATGCAAATAGCTTATAATAACTATTTACTGTATGTTGCAGTTATGTATGCTAGTATAGTAATATTATAAAGAGACAGAGTTTGTTGGAACAGGCTAATCTCAGGAGTTCCTGAGAATTTTTCAAAACAGTTTAGTTGTTACTAATCTGATTTGAAAAATTCCTTTTGCATTGGATAGACTGTTTATTGAGGAAGGCTATGGGCTATAAAGCATATAATATATAGATTATAGTCTGTCTATTCTATGCTGTTATAAGTTAATATACCTAAAAGCATGCATATATGTATTTGGCTACTAAATTATCACCTTGCTTTACATGTGACTAATAAACACTATGAATATATGATGCAAGTAGTATCACTAAATCTATGGGAGATCTTATGCCAGGGCTGCAAATTAGGCAGCACTAGTATATCTAGAAAAATATGACTGTTTGCAAAACGAAATTTGATGCTTGCTCTAAAAAATATAGCAAATAATAATGTAACTTAAATAAAAATCTGTGTGATTGTAATCCTAGGAGGACTTAGCTAAGATAGCAATTTGTTGATTTGAGTGATATATTCATGAAATGCCAATTTAATTCTCTTGTTATTGGCATCAAAATGTGCCAGTTTAGCACAGATTACTTTGTCAACGTCACATAGAATGAAGACAACACAAAATTATGGCACCTTGAGTTAAAAACACAGCAAGCTCTAATTGACGATGGTCCTAAATGAACTTTATTTTATACTACATAAAAAGTCCATCTTTGAAGACTAAAGACTCTGTTTCATCTTAAATAGAAATTTTTGTTTTTAGTTTATTCAGACTTAGATTATCATAAAATGAGGAGAAACACTGAAAATGTAAAAATATGTATATATTTAAATACAATGCAATTTCATTTATAAATTTTCCATACTAATCACAAGCACTATCTGTTCTTTTAACAGCTTTATTATATGTATATATTGTACCACAGTAATAAAGATAAACATAAGATATGGAAATCCTATCACCATTTTTTTATATTAATGTAATAATAGTTTTGTTTGAATTAGGAGGAGAAGAGCAATGATGTATACAACTTTGATGAAGAAGAGGAACCAAATGCAGATGGCTCTGATGATGGAGAAGAGGGAACTAAGGTAAATTTAATATTATAAAGAATGTTAAAACACTTAACTTGCCCAAGCTCAAGTGCATTCATAGGTATTTTTTAAATAGATAAAAATAGTTTATGTGATTTTTATATTATTATTATATATTTTATATTATTTTACGTTCGGATATAGACATATGCTATTGCATATTTTTCTGTAGGACTTATTAAGACATACAATTTTCTAGTAGATTGTTTTGATGTACATATCTCTAAAGATTTAGCCACTGTTAGCCATGTAAATTTCCTAGGAAGAATCGTCAGAACCAGTTATTATGTTTTCCCATGGGAATGTAAGATTTTCCTGTAGTAAAAGGTATCCTAAACGATGATCCAGGTAATAAGCTATCACTACACTAAATTTGGTTAAAACTCGTTCAGTAATCACTACACAAAATTTTGTTAAAATCCGTTCAGTACTTTTTGTGTGAAAAGTAAACAGATGTACAGACAAACAAAAAAAATTATTTACTATAGTTTTGGGGTTTATAATTTGTACACAATATGGAATTCATTGTTTTTAAAAAATATTTCACAGTGTGTACAAATTTCAGTTTTTTACTATTTTATTATAATATGTATAGAATATTTTATTATATGTAAATCATATGATCTTAAACTAATAATATTATTTAATATTATTTTGAATAATTACTGTTCCCTATACATATTCTCATGTTATTATATATATATACCAAACAGTCTAATAACTATGAATATTACTAGACTGTATGTAATGTTATCCTTTTCTATCATATGATATTGTCATATTATTAATTGTAACATTTGAATGTTAATTGATTGACTATCATAAAAATTGACAACTCTGCAAGATTGACTGCTTGATTAGTAAAAAAACCTTTTTTTTAGGTTAAATCTTCTACATCATCAAAACGTGGAAAATATCTTCGGCCTCATTTCACATGCAATTTTTGTTCATATACAAGTCATAGGCGGTAAGAATATATAGTACATAATAATAATCTTCTCAAATCTTGTCACAGTTTTTGAAGCCTGTATTAACTGAATTGATTGAAGTTTTCTTTTAAGTTATATGTGGCAGGCAGACAATGAATTATATTCTTTATCATTCTATTTGAACAGGTACCTTTTACTACGTCATATGAAATCGCACTCTGAGGAGCGGCCTCACAAATGCAGCGTATGTGAACGTGGTTTCAAGACCATTGCGTCTCTACAAAACCACGTGAACATGCACAATGGTGTCAAACCACATGTTTGCAAATATTGCAAGAGTCCTTTCACTACTTCAGGTATGCTCATGTTCTACAACAATGTATAATAAATAAATAAATATCTTGGCATATTACATATGTAATAATACTAAGTATTATAATTGTGTGGTAAATTTCACTACGTATATCTCTTATTATAAAACAATGTTTAATTTATTTCAGGAGAACTAGTGCGACACGTTCGCTATCGGCACACTCACGAAAAACCTCATAAATGTACCGAATGTGACTATGCCTCGGTTGAACTTTCAAAGCTAAGGCGGCACGTTCGGTGCCACACTGGCGAAAGACCATATCAGGTAAAGACCATACTAATTAAAACTTAGAGCATCACTTAAAGTGTAACAAACAAATATTAATGTAAGTTTAATTTTCAGTGTCCACATTGCACTTACGCGTCTCAAGATACGTTCAAACTGAAGCGGCACTTACGCACACACACCGGAGAGAAACCATACAAATGTGATCACTGTAACTTATGCTTTACACAATCAAACTCTTTGAAAGCGCATAAACTAATACACAATGGTATGAAAAATATATATTTAAAAATAGATAAAAATACAGTGCTAATTATACATTACATATTACATTAATATAATTATATATTACAACAGTATGTGTAATTGAATCAAATGCTTATTCTTTTTAGTGTCCGAGAAACCAGTATTTGCATGCGAACTATGTCCGGCAAAGTGCGGACGCAAAACTGATCTACGTATTCATGTGCAAAAGCTGCATACATCTGATAAACCCCTAAAGTGCAAACGATGCGGGAAATCCTTCCCCGATCGATATTCATGTAAAATGCATAACAAGGTAGAAATATTATTTATTTTTGTTATGTACAGAAAATATATTTTATAATGGATTTTAAATGGATAATTGCTTTTAGACACATGAAGGAGAGAAATGTTTCAAATGCGAATTGTGTCCTTACGCATCGACGACACTGCGTCATCTCAAGTCGCACATGCTGAAACACACTGACGAGAAACCCTTTGCTTGTGATCTGTGTGATCAATCATTTAGGTATTTAAGACTACATTAATTAATATAATAATATATTTAAAATTCATATTATACTTGTTCATAAAACGAGTACAAGTAAAATAAACATAACGTTGTATGAAAAAAAAGCATGTCAAAACGGCTTTTTTCAATTTACAGACAAAAACAGCTTCTTCGTCGTCACCAGAACCTATATCATAACCCCAACTATGAGCCAAAGCCACCCAAAGAGAAAACTCACACATGCCACGAATGTAAGCGCACTTTCGCACACAAAGGCAATCTCATTCGTCACCTCGCGGTACACGACCCAGAGTCGGACCACCACGAAAGGGCGTTGGCGCTCAAGTTGGGACGACAGCGAAAAATCAAACTTGCTGATGGAAATGTTAAGGTAAAATAATTTTTGCTTTTAGAATTTGTTGCCTTAACAGTTGTTTTTAAATTGCGAATTTTGATTATTGTTTTAAATTTTGATAGTAAATATTATAATGCAATCAAGGGTTTGTCTTAATGGTCTTCATAATTTTGTTGTTTTGGTATTGAATTTCTTTATAAAATTTGTTTTATTTGCAAGCTGCTTAAATTATAATTGGCGAAAATTTGATATATAGTAAAAAAAATTACTTGCATAATAATGCAATTTGCGATATTATGCCTAGGTTATAAGATTTCCCAGAGGCCCCTATATATAAAAAAAAACAAATCTATCCCACGGGAACCGTACATTTTTCCGGGATAAAAAGTAGCCTATGTGCTATTCCAGACTATCTATTTCTGTGACAAATTTCATCCAGATTTGTCCAGACGTTCTGGCCTGATTGAGTAACAAACATCCGAACATCTAAACCTTTTACATTTATAATAAATATTAAGTAAGATAAACGATCAAATGCACCATCTTGGGATTATATCATATCTTACAACATTATAGGCAAAATCTGACAAAATGTGTTAAGATGATGTCAATAAAAATAAAAAAAAACAAGCTCGTAATTTTTCGTTTAAACAATATATCAAAATAAGGCAAGTCAAACGACATGCAAATAGATTTTCAAATCAGATAAGAAAGTCTATAAAGATAGCGATTTGTTGAATAAAACTATTAATTGACCTTATCTACATTGTTGTAACTGTTATATCAGTTTGTATGTTTAAAGTAGTGCGATTGTGTCATTTGTACTATGTTCCTAATTGTATGGCTCTTAAGTTACCCAATTTGCTTTGCGATGTTACCTAATTATAACACAATACCAATATATTGTTTTTAATTTGTAGAATTGCTTTAACACTTTACTAACCAATATTTTTACATATTTCATCTATACTAATATTATAAAGAGGCACAGTTTGTTTGTTTGTTTGTTTGTTTGTTTGTTTGTTTGTTTGTTTGTTTGAACGCACTAATCTCAGGAACAACTAAACCGATTTGAAAAATTCCCTTTGCATTAGATATACCGTTTATTGAAGCTATATTATATCATCATGCTACTACCCAAGGGAGCAGAGCAGTAATCATAAATGTCAACAAATCTGGTAGACTTACATACATTATTGTAAAATTATATATATATATATATATACATAGGGAAGAACCCGAGCGAAGCTAGGGTGAGTCGCTAGTATGTAAAATAAATTACTTATTATTACATTCCTACATTGGTTGTAACTCTAATATACCAACAAACAACGTAATTACTAAAATGCAGATAGTACCATATTGTTTGTTACCAAGATTGAACAAAACTATGAGTTATTTTATTTGTTAAAAATTACATTATTTACTTGGTATTAATTGGTAAAACTTATCATTGTGTTTATTAGATCTAATATTAGAATTAGATAATTAACTTGCTCTTCATATTATTGTTATTTGTGTATAGTATGAATTTGACATTCAAACATGTTCTGGTGACTGTAATTATTTTGCTCTTTGTAACTCTTGCGATTGTGTTTATATTTGTTCTTTTTAAATTTTACAAAGAATATTAAGTAGTTATTTTGAGTATTATAGTCACAATTGGTTTTTAACAAACTTGAATAATATTCTATATTGTTATTATCTTGAGTTCTTTGTATGATAGCATGTGAATTGCATAAATTAGTCATTAATTTAGTTTTAAAGTGTCATTATATGTATATATTAAACTAATATTATAATGCGAATGTTTGTATGTGTGTGTTTGTTACTCCTTCAAGCTGAAAAAAGCAGGATGGATTTCTATGAAATTGATAACAAGTAGACTTTGACCTACAGTGAAATATACTATGTTAGACACTCATAAACCCAAATTACTGGTTGTATTAGCTGTTAACTCTTAACAAATAGTAAATATATGTTATCAATAATAAAAATATTGTCAATAATTACCATAAACCAAAATTAATGAACAATGTACTGAAACAGTCTGAAGAGTCTGACAACGAGGAGCTAATGAAGCTCGACCTGAACAACGAGCTGAAGCGCGGCGAGCTGGTGACGGTGGCTGACGGCGAGGGCCAGCAGTACGTGGTGCTGGAGGTGATACAACTGGAGGACGGTTCGGAGCAGCAGGTCGCGGTGGTTGCGCCCGACTTCATCGAAGAACAGGGTATGCTAATTCTATTATATCATACAGATATTTTATTCTAACAACCTGACTTGACTGCACTCAAGCAGTGGTAGCTCAGTGGTAACGTGCTCGCTCGGGAAACCGAGTGAAGCGGGTTCAAATCCCGGGTCTCGCACCTCTGATATTTTCATGTGCGAATCATATCCAACATGATTACCACTTGTCTTAACGGTGAAGGAAAACATCGTGAGTAAACATGCATGTCTGAGAGAACCTAGCAAGTTTTCGAAAAACATCTGAAGTCCGCCAACCCGCACTTGTCCAGCATGGTGGACTATGGCCTGATCCCCCTCCTATTGCAGGGAGGCCCGTGCCCAGCAGAGGGACGTAAAAAAGGGCTGAATTGGCGATGTCTACATTTTTTAATGTTTGAACTCTAGTAAGGAATAATATTGTTCATTTACAAAAAGTAAACAAAAGTTTTAACTATTCCCATGAACTATAGTAGACGAAGAAGAGGAGGAGGAAGAGGAAGAAGACGACATGGAGGAGAAACTAGTTTTGCTTGAGCAAGCAAAGCAAAAGAATTTAGAAAGGAGTATTAAGCTCGAGAAGGATGTGGACACATGCTTTGGTTTTGATGTGAGTAACTATGCAATTGTATTTAAATATTACATTAATGGTGCCCAAGAAATGTAGCTATCTATACTAATATTATAAAGAGGTAAAGTATGTGAGTTTGTGAAGTTGTAGGAGGTAATCTCTGGATCTACTGAACTGATTTAGATGAAATTTGGTAAGAAGATAGTTTGGGATCCCGGAAAGGACATTGGATAGTTTTTATCCCGGAAATTATCCCTTAAGGAGATATAAATGGGGATAAAAGTTTGTATCGGGAAGCAAGCGAGAGTGAGTCGCTAGTATTATTATAAACTAACAGAAGTGTTTATGCATATTGAAGATTCTTATAAAAGATTATGCTATGGTCCTTACGTAATTAAAAATATGAGTTTTTTCCAAGTCAATTTGTCCAAGCATTGATATTTCAAATCACAAGTTTTTTTACTAATATGTTAACATTTTCATCAGCAGTAGCTTAACATTCCATTGTATATAAAAAATGAAATTTAACATTTCAATTTACAGGAAGAAGAAGAAGAGAATGAGGAGGAAGAAGAGATATCTTACGATGAAAAAGTTGTTTTACATTTAGCTTAATTTACACAGTAAATGTATTTTAAAACTATCCATGTAAGTCACATGATGTAATATTAATGTTAGTATAGTGTCATGTATCTACTTACTTGGTTTCTTCTCATCTTATCCAAACTGCATTTCACGTGTGTTCTAGAATAATTTACCTCCATATATAATCAAATTGAAACTTTTAAACTATCACAACTCAGTTTCAAATTTTCATATCAGGTATTACTCCTACTATGTGTATATATGTATGTAACATGGTAACAGTGAATTATTCGTAATCTATTCAAAATGTAATTTTTAAATAAAATAGGTAGTGATTATTATCATAGTTGATGTTATATTTTGAAATGAATTAATATTTGCGGTCTCGTAGAGGGTTTTTGACCTTAAAACATATTTACAAACAGCCAAATTTTATTCAACCATTGTATATTCTATACACCAATAACCAAAATCGTATACAAAATACCAGCATTGAAAAACTAACAATTTGAATGGCTACTGTTATTATGTTACAATACTTGATAACTGATATTAATTATAGTCAGTATAAATATTTAAATGTCTGTCAGTATGTATACAGTTTAAAAAAAAACATCCTAATATCTTGAGTCGTGGGTTAAATTTTACTTAGTAGTTTTTGTATATTAATATATTTGACATGCAAGCTTCAATGGGTACAATACTTAAGGGTGTGAAACGTCCAGAGGTGAATATTAAATATTAAGAAAGTTATAATAGATCCAACTAAATGAGCTAGCTAGATAGGTCTCAGCGTCAGTAATTGCTAGCAAAGTACAAGTATTGTTTATTTTTTTTTGTAATATATTATTATATTATATCAGTGGAATTTAATTTGGTTTTAACTGTTCAATTGTAGTGGTTCAGGTTGTACTGTCTCATCTTATTGATATTTTACGTAATATAATATTTTATTACAATTTATTATTTCATATAAAATCTGTTCTTCAAATTGATTCTATTATTTTATATGAATCTTTCAATTTTCATGGCCTTTTAAAATAACCTGTTGTCTGCAATAGGGGTTTTACTTGTAGTTAACATTGAAAATTAAGGTTCAATAAATTATGCTTGGATATGATACAAAAAAATCTGTACTATCTTTTGAATACTACGGCGATTGTTTGCGTCTGTAATAATGTATAGGCGATTTTTATTGTGGGCGTAGATGGTGATAAGAATTAAGTCATTTAAAAAATGATTGTTTTTTATAAGCTACGAAATATTTTTCCGTAATTTTAATTTGATAAGGCAATCGTAATAAGACATTGGATGATTTTTTAGAGAGTGGTTTTAATTAACTATTATGAAAAGAATATATTCCCATTATTATTATTATTTTTTTATAAAGTTTTATATAAACCAAAAATTATGTCTCGATATTAATTGTTTAAGACTGCCGCAAAAACAGTCCTTTGTAACTTCAGAAGGCGTAACGTCATAAGTGGGTGTACTGCAAGCTGATAGTAGTTAAGTACTTATAATTTAAGTCTTTGCGAAGTTTGGTTGATATGGGAAGAAAAAATATCGGTGTGTAATACCTTAATGTAGGAATACATTTGTAACTAACCCAAGTTGATTATTCATCGATGTATGTATCACGAAACGCAGACATATAAAGAAAACAAAAGATACACATGGTAGAAGTGAAACTTAATATTATATTTTTGTCAGACATTAACGACGGTTACCATGGTAACATGGCAATTTACTCTATACCATTTTCTCGCCGGCTTAATTCTATATATTTATGTATTTATCTCTTTTCAACCGACTTCAAAAAGGAGAAGGTTCTCAATTCGACTGTATTTTTTTTATGTTAGTTAACCTCAGAACTCCGTCATTTATTAACCGATTTGGACAATTTTTGTGTTGTTTGAAAGTGTATACTTACAGATTGGTCCCATTTAAATTTCAAAAAAAAATACCACCCCTAAGGGTGGAAAAATAGCTAATGATGAATTTAACCTAATTCTAATTGTCATATTGACTTGAAACTTTGCAAGTGTTTCTATTTCCGTTGATAGTACAGTGGTTGGATAGTATTGTTGACCTGATCTGATGGTAAGGCCAGAAGGTGGATAAGTGGAACTCTTCGACGGCTAATAGTAGTAGATACTTTGAGTTTGGGCTTGTTTTGTTTGATTTGACAAGCCTAATACGTTAGAATTCTTACTTTGCTACTACTATCTACACTAAAAAGGGAAAAATAAAAACTTTTTAACAAAAAATTCGGTGTGCTTTGGCTAAGTAATTAAAGCCTACCTATTAAATACATACCTAATCAAATATTTTCGAAATCGGTGCCAGCCCATACAAAGCAAAGCACACCGACTAGTAAATGAAAACTACCAATCAGTTATTTTTTACTTTTTAGTGCTTTTGTTTGAAGTCGGTTTTTTTAGTGTCGCATTTCCGTTTCATCAAGTTTCAATCACAACAATTTTAAAGAAGTTTCACTTCTAAAATTAGCAAAAAAAAATGTTTGGGAGAGACAATGAGCACTTGCGACAGTTTATAAATTAATTACTGTAACTGAGTCTATTAACTATCTATCAACTTTTACAATTTTATCTACGTTTTTAACTGAAAAGAATCGCTCAACGGTTTGCTTGCATTGAAGTTACCCACAAATGATGAGGGATGATAAAAATATTATATTTTTTTTATTTATTTAAAATTATACATCATTAACATTTCACAAAAAAAATCATTGAAAAAATGGTTCCAATTTTATGAACGTTCTTTCGAAATACGTTTGAGATTTTTTCTTATTTATGTCCAATACCCTATTCAATTCAATTATTATAAGCTTTGTATTTGGATATCACCATCTGCTCTCAACGAAAGATTCCACCTTGTTTCTAATTGAAATTTACTTTTTGTTCGTTTTTAACACAAATCATAGATAATGTACATTTGATGTAGTTTTAAAGCCATCATTTATTTTGTAAATATTTTATATAGTAGTTAAATAGATGTAGTGTTAATATCTAATTATTTACATAAATAAGACCACTTTAACGAAAATCTATCTAAGAACTTATCAGTGGCTCATATATTTTGAAGACTAAAAAAATCATAAAATTAATTATTCCAATGTTAAGGACGGAAAATCGGCGAATGCCTACTTCCAATTTTGAATGAAAAATAAACATTGACAATGTATGTATATCTGAGTATTCATTCAAAATATGTATATGGTTTTAGCATTGATATATAAAAACATAGATACACATTTCCTAACAAATATCTCTTCAAAAAGTGGCGTCGACTTGTCACGTTAAGTCAACCCAAACAGTACAATTCAAAAATCGTCAAACACATTCGAACTTACAAACACGACATAAAGTATGTACATTCAAACAAAACAATGTGCGTTTATATTGAAAAGCCATGAACGAAACACGAGAACGCTTGTGACGCTAATGGTGTATCTTGAGTTTTTGTATATCGACGGGTTTAGGATATTTTCTGCCATGCCTTCATGTAACAATAACGTTCAAGCAAAATTGGACAATAATAATTACAAGAAACTACTGAAAACGCGCAATGAAAAGACTAATTAATTCTTTACAATAAATGTGCATTAAATTGTTAGAAATAAGCATTGATCGCAGGCTGATGATGATTATACAAATTAGTGTTAGTACAACTTCTATAGGGCATTTGCTTAAAATAGAAATTGTTTTCAAAATTTGTTGCCCGTTTCTATCATGATTGTTCAAATATTTTTTAAACCATCATTTCTTATGCAAAGGCACTATCCATATTCCTTCTGAATCCTCTGAAATCAATTTAATTATTTAAAAATAATTTAATTATTAAGTGATTTTTTTAAGTAACAGTACCATATAATAGAAGTTATATTATATATAATAGAATAATTGTAAGCAAATCAACGTCAAATAAGTCTTGAAATATACATGTGTATGTTGTTTTTGCATTAGTTATTTGTGTATTCATTCATGAATATAATAAGAAATATTAAGCTTCATTAAGAGATATTACATGCTAATTTTCATTAAGTGGCTTTTTTGATTATGTTTTACCATATAAATGTCCTACATTTTGCACGTGTTCAGAAAGTCTTTTGTTACATTGTATAGTTATCTAGTTTTACTGTATAGAAGTATTTAATGTTCTTAATGTATGTTGCCACTGGAAAAATCCGTGATCTTGATTAAACGATTAAAGCATGTGAATTTGTTTCATTATCTGTGTGTCGAGAGTTATATATGGGGTTGAACCACCAAAAGGTGACACTTTCGGGAATTCTTAAGCTGTTCGATAGTAGTTGTTCTAACTTTTTTTTGAATTGTGAATGAAGAAATGAAAGTTCATATCATTCGAAAGTAATCCTGTAGATTTGTTCAATTATTTTATATATTACTATTTAAATACAATTTTTTCGGATTTGTGTACTGAACGTTCAGGTCCGCAAAAGGGTTAACTTATTCTGGTGGGACAATAACTCGCGATGAAAAATAAGACTCGTGATGGACGGCTTAATGTGCTATCTGAGTAACGGGTATCAAAAAACTATGAACAACTCGGGTATCGAACCCAGAACCTCGCCATCTGCTGTCATATATGGTAAGCTACTACCACCACGCTTGCCAAGTGCGGGTTAGCGAACTTCACAAGTCTTTCGATAACTTGCTGGGTTCTCTCAGATATGTAGCTTTCCTCACGATGTTTTCCTTTACCGTAAGGCAAGTGGTAATCATGTTAGAAATGATTCGCACATGAAAATATCACAGGTGCGAGACCCGGGATTTGAACCCGTTTTACTCGGTTTCCCAAGGGAGCGCGTTACCACTGGGCTACCACTGCCTTAAGTGTTACAATGTTGGCTATGATTTATACCAGAAATTAATAAAAAATTGTATTATTACAACCTTTAGTTTAACTTACCGTTTTAGTATGTTATTTTGAGTCAAATCTTACAACTGTTTTTTAAAGTAGTTGTTCTCAACCGATTGAGCATACACGTTATGTTTGAATGACAATGCATGGTTAGCTAAGTGACGTCATTCTAAATCTACTATGTCGGATTCCCAAAGACTACCTAACTGACTTATTATAATATAATCATAGTTATATATAGGATATGCTAAAAAAGGTACGCCGCCGATTTTGATAAAAAGTAAAAGCAATATTACAGGTTTGTATAGAGTTCATTTTCTTATCAAGAATTGGACGTCATATAAAAAAAATATATAAATCTATAAACACTACTCAATTTTCAAACTTTTCACTTTATCTGAAGTTACTATGTATATATGTTACAGTCAAAACTACTTTGGACTAAAGAGGTTAATCAAAAGTAATTTTGATTACAAGCCTATAGCAGTTTTGACTGTCATATCGGTAAAAACTCTTTTAAAAGTTAAGGAGGTAAGTAGGTTGAAGGTTACACGTAAGAACCCTTTCGTTCTTTCTTCGTACAGTGACCACCATAAACGACTAGAACTTTTAGAAAAAAAATACATGCAGTGAAAACTACTTTTGACCAACCTCTTTAATAAAAAGTAGTTTTGACTAAAAAAATAGTGTTGACTGTAACATATACATATTATTTCTTGCTATTGATAAAATAGAAATGTGTAAAAATAAATCCATTCCACTAATGGACATTAAAATAAAAAGGTCTAAATATTAAAAAAAAATGGATTTGTATACATTTTGCATCATTTTTTATTGAATTTCAATTATTTCCAAATTGCAAATGTATTTTATGTAATCCGAAGGTTGCATAAAAAATATAAGAGTTCGATGTTTTAAGTTACATTTATTAAAGACGTTATACATAATATCTACATGTTTATTAGAAGTATTTGTTGAATAAAAAGGTAAATGTTTATTTGAACTGTAAATAAGTAAAATATTGAAATCAATAAAAATTCGTTTAAGACAGAATCGCTGTTTAGTTAAGTATGTACACTTATAATTAAATAACTATTGTAAAGTTTAAGGCTCATTTACATGTACATCATAAAGTAAAATCAAAATGAAAAAAAAGTGAAACAATGTAAGCGAAGCCACGGTAAAGTTATGCACACAGTATTGCAACTCGGCCCTGTCTTTGAAATAATTACCTACAGCCGAGCGACACGTACCCACGCGACAGGGCTGTCCGAGTGCCCGCCGCCCAATATTTTAATTACATCTTAGGTAGATGAGTTTCTTTCTAGTTTTGTGATTGCAAATACTATATTTTTTATTTAAAAATATTATTAGTAGATTTAATTAAAAAATCTCAAATTTATAAGGGTCACATACCAACCCTTATAAATTTGAGATTAAACATTTTTGCGCCTCGGCTGAGACGTACGAAAAGCTTTATTGTTAATTTTAATAGTATAAAAAATCCGCATTCGGATAAAAAGTTTAATTAAAAATACTTTAATTTTTATATTTAATTTAATTAATTATATTTATATTTTAAAAAAATACGATTTCTCGATACTTTTTGTTTGACATTAGCGAAGTTACGGGAAGAATAAAATGTTTATTTTCGTATCCAATTATACGATGTGGCAGCCCCGGACGGTTGTCCACCGAGTGTATACCGAACTCGAGGCGCGTAGGTATAACTCGATTTCCGAACATTACCGTGGCTAAGCCGTATGTATGTATGTATTACATACACTAGAGATAACATTGCTATTTTTTATCCGCATTTGATATTTATTTTATAAAACTCTCTGAAAATGTGCCTTTACAGATGAGAAGAAGCGAAGTGCTTTTATATTTTGAGATTATAATGTAGATTGTGGTGTATACAATCCACGGCATTGGGCGTCCTGGTCTCTTCTAGGAGTGAGGCCACGAAAGCCTCCTGCTCCCTCAGACGAGCCACTAACGGCTCCCACGAGCCATAGTTCAGCTCCATCAACTGAACAGCTTTCTTTATCACTTTGTGAGCTTCAAGGCACCAGTCTCTGTTATCATAGAAATTTCATGCTATGTTAATTAACAGAAGTAATATATAAAAGCCGTGAACAGATTTCATTTCGATTAGCCGATAGAGGAATCTCGAAGAACTAAGTTAGGTCGATAAAATCACTATATTATCTGTGTATAATGTGTATAAATATAATGTCAGATTATACACACACAATATTATTAAGATATCTAGTTTCTAAGCTACTTATTCTTTTAAACAGATTTACTATTTAAAACTATCAAATTGATACCTTTTTACGAGTATACGACGAAAACAGACAACTAAAATTTATTTCTTAATTAATTCTATTACATAAGCATAGATCACATAATACGATATTAGTACAGGTGTGTTATCCCATACAAAGAAATCGGACAGCGCTAATTCGGGCTATTTTTGTTTGCTTGATGGTTAAGATAATAGATATGTTTGATTCGCAAATAGTTTTATTTAAAAATTGTAAACACTAACGTATAGTAAATATTGTAAAATTCATTTTGCATTCCAATAAACCAATGATTTTAACAATTCTTAACCGTAATAAACAATTCATAAAAAGCAAGAGCGCCATTTAAATTATACTAAATCTAAATATACTCTACAATCCCATCGTCTGATTGCTGATATTTCAATAATTAATCAGTAAAATTACGCAAATGTTGATTGATATACAGGCGTATTATTTCATTTCACTGCACTTAGAATATTATTTAAAACAAAAATACACCTTTTTGGTTCTTTTTTATCTTTAGTTAATTTAACACAACTTTAATAACAAATCGATACATGTAACGTCATCTATTGCCATTTATTTGCATAGATTTTTCTTTGTTCGTGATGAGACCTCATGACATAAGTATACAAAATATGAGCAATTATAACTTCCATTATAGGAGTTTGATCGGTTTCTTAATGTATTTAGCAGTATGTACCAGTTAACTGATAAGAAAAGGGTTTTAAGGTATATAAAAGTCAACTATCTGGTCTACGCTGATCTAATTCGTCTAGTCTATTCTACTGACAGTGTATAATATAGTAACACATTTATTTTATTTTTCTTTTCACCTGTGGTCCACATGCTGCGGAGTGTTGATTATCCTCTCCACCATTACATCCGATAGCTTTCGGAGCTCATGCGCCACCTTGGAAATTGAAACATTTAACTTTATTCTTTATATGTCTAAAGGCAATCTTATTATAAACTAGCGACTCACCCTCGCGTCGCTCGGGTTCGTCCCTAGGTACGTTTTATTTTACGGTAAATATAGAATAGACTATATATGTATACATATATGTACAATGGTATAGAAAAGTAGGTAAGTATTATAAAAAATGAAAAAATATATACCCCTTACTTGAGAAATAATGATTGATTTTTCATTTAATGTTCCACTTCCTTTTCACCCCCTTATATATGATATATTTTCCGGGATGAAAACTATTCTATGTCAGGGTCTCGAAATATTTCCATACCAAATTTTAATATACTTATTACTCGGGTCAACATTTAGGAAACCCTTTACTACAGGAAAATTTTTCATTCCCACGGGAAAACACAATAACTGGTTCTGTCGAGTCGAAGTTAGAAATTTATATGGCTAACGCTGGCTAAACCTTAAGAGATACATGAAAACAATGTACTATTAAATGTAGGTGTTACAAAGACCTACGGAAAAGTCTGCAATAGCATGTCTGTCTATCTCCTAAGGTAAACTCGTTATAAATATTTTTATCTAATTAAAACTCGAGCGAAGCGAGGGTAAGTCGTATAGTTACGGTATAAAAAATCTAGAAAGTACAAATAAACAACCTCACCTCAACACTGAATGATCCAAACTGATATTCCAGACTCTGAATGTTGTGTTTGATCAGTTCCACGCTTTTGCCGAATTCACCTGAGCAACATTTGTATGGATCAAACAATCTGATAATATTATAAACTGTCAATATTAATTACTACTACTGTAAATGCGAAAGTTTATTATGAATGTTTGTTAATATATGGGCTATGACATGTATGACAATTGGCAATAGGCTATAGTTGCGCACGTAGGGACGCACTCGAGAAAAGCGAGCGTAAATATAAAAAAAGCTGGCCGTCACGGGACTGCAGATGTGAAACATCTGTATTAATATTAGAATTCGTACTTAATAAATATTTATAACGAAATATCGAGTAAAATAAAGAAAAAAAATGTTTCATTAATAAAATCAATTTACTTTTCTTATTATTTCTGTTTTATAACGGAGCATATACTATGTATAGTATACGCTCGCGCGCACGCAGTCGAGAGCGTCACAACAGGAGTCGGTTTTACCGCCAAGGCGCGTCAATAGATGTCTCACATCAAAAACTGAACTTCATAGTCGTGTAGTTATATACTGTACTAAATAATTATTATGCTCATATCTTAGTAGACGATAATATCATATTATTTTTATTTTGTACAAGAAGGAAAATCAAATATGTGTATTTTAAAGTACCTCTATTCATCAGCAAACGAATGGATTTTAATTCTTCATTGTACAAATCACTTCCTCATTATTATTCTATAAATTTAATTACTATTAAGATGTGAAAGTGTGCGTGTGTGTGTTTGTTTGATGTCGTACCAGTGTCTGCGTAGAGCCTGGCGAGGCGGTCGGCGGCGGCACGCAGCGCGGCGTGGTGCTTGTGCCACACCTGCTGCTTGAGACGGTACGCGGAGCACATCGCGGCGCATCGCGCCTCCACCGACGGCGCGCGCTCCGCTACACACATTATAATAATAATTTATTTATTATTTATAATATTATAAACAGGTAAAGTTTGTGACGTAGTTTGGATGTTAATCTCTGGATTTAATGAACCTTGAAATTTAGATGAAAATTGGTAAGATAGTTTGAGACCCTGGAAAGGACATAGAATACTTTATATCCCGGAAATCATCCCTTAAGGCCTTAAGGGGTGAAAATGGGGATGAAATTTTGTATTGGGAAGCAAGCTAGGGACGAACCCGAACGAAGCCAGGTGAGACGCTAGTTGTACTATATAAAGTGACAATATAAGGGGTTAAAGTAATAAAAGCAAGTTGTACAAAAATGGTCCAAAAATATAAGTTGAACTGCTATCTCCTAAACTAAGCCAGGGCCTGTATTTTCGGTGACAGACGTTCCACTTTCACAATTGAATTTAAAATTATTAATACGTGATGCGAGTGCTCCTACAACATCAACGATTTATATTATAAATATACATAAAAAAATGATTTTATTTTTACATTAAATAAAAAAAAGAAAATTTCAGGCAAATTTTCAGGGGCGGTTCGTAGTATCGAAAATGCTTTTTTAATATTAAAAATTAAAAATAATAATTATTTGCCGAATCCGGCACTGCCATCAAGTACCTAACCAACCAACCGCTCAGAAACAACGATTTTATTTTAAAGTTAACATTAAAAACATATATTAATATCATATAGATAATATGTTACAGAATAAGGATTTTAAATAAAGCTATCTTTTCGGATTTTGGCGCGGGTTTATTTTATGCGGAATTGCAAGCAAAAACTAGTTTGGTATAAATTTCGAGTTAGTTACAGAATACCTTGCTGCGTGAGTTCTTCAGCTCGATCTATGATAGCTAGAGCTCGTTCGGGATGGAACTCCGTGTGGCACTGCTGGCAGCGCGGCCGGCGACCCTGCCAGGACACCGGTCCTTTGCACGACTGGCATGCGTACGCGCTGAATAATAACTGGAAAAAATAAACATTAAAATATATAATTTTCTTGTAACTTTTTCGAAAATCTGTTATCATGAAAAACAACGTGTAAATCCTTCTCACACTTGACCTCAACAAAACAATTTTTAAATTCAGATTTGATAGTCCTCAAAATGGTCGCTTAGATACAGTAGGTATTAATTACCTACATTACAATAAATGTTTATATTATTTATTTTCTCAGTAGTGTGTTCACTGTTCGTTCAATTTTGTGCGTTTTGTGTCGATGGAATTTGGTTAGCTCTGATTGGAGCTCACTACACGAGCTTACGGCAGATTCGAGAGACCCTTTCTCTTTTGAAACGCGCACCAGAATGAACGACAGCATCGCCACCATTATTATTATTAGCAACTGCGATTAGCGCAACGGACGTCGTGGAAGACATTAATCGGTGATTTGGAGTGGAAGAGGTGCACACGCGAAAGGGTGCACGAAGGACGTCTCATCAGTCAGGGACCTGGAGGATTCTGTCTGTATGTACCAATCTATCTCACCAGATTCCATCGTTTTTAATATCGATGGAAGGTCGAGCCTTCTGACCCAGAGTGCCGGTCAGGGTTCCTCCGGAAGGGCCATCTCATGTACATAGTGTGTCAATTACATTCACCGTAATTATGATCGGGCAATAATTTAATGATGACGCACTGAAGGCGCCGGTGAACATGTACAGAGCAAATACCACGATATAAAAAAAATATTTTATTTGCATAAAGATATTATAGTTTTGTTAAATTTTATGGTTGAGGTCCCCTTTGAAGCAAGTAATTTTTGCCTGTATTAGGAGACCCCACTCTTTCATAACAAAACGTACAGATTTAATCCTTAATCCGATTATACAAGGTAATACTAAAACAACAATCTTAAATCTTAAATAGGTAAATTAAAACAAACAATAAATAGGTAAGTTAATATACATGTATATTAATTAGTAGGTACAGTATAAATAGTCTTTGAAATTTATGTAGAATTAAAAATTAGCGTATGTGTGTGAGTATTTAACTAAGCTAAAAGTCAAAGGATATGACAACTGACCACAAAGTCCTTCCGCTCGTGGTCGGTGCACGCGGCGCACGCGCACGTGAACATGTACTGCGCGCGGAGGTGCGCGCGGCGCTGCGGCGTCGGCTCGCGCGCGCGGTGCGGCCCGTAGCAGTTGAGCACCTCCGCGCCCGCGGGCAGCTCGCGCGCGCAACGGATTATTAGACGGCTGTTGTAGAACCTGTTCAAGTAAAACTTTTTTACGCTCGCTCGACTTGGGGTGGGTTTGGGTGGTAGTGGTGGTAAGCTGGTGAATGCGTTATGAAAAAATATACGTACGTTAGTTGCCATGGTAAACGTTGTTATTATCTGACAAATGATATATATATATATATATATATATATATATATATATATATATATATATATATATATATATATAATAATCTTTCCTTAAATGATATTCTATAACTATATGATTTTAATATGCCTAATATGCGTTATTTTTAGTTATCTATCCTATAGTCTGATTTTTAATTCGACGGAATTCTGACATTTCAAAAACGTTGTCAACTTTGAAACATTGCCACTAAAAACGGAAAGGATTTTAGCAAAATAAAAAAAAAACCTTTCTCGAAGTTAAGGTTTCAATTAGAAAAACTAAGACTTAAAAAATATTGATAACTCTAAAATGGTATTTTTTTTTATTATCATATTATTGAAGTTACATTAATTATTAAGGATTTTTTTTCTATTACAGGAGTCCCTGTCTAATAATCCATAGGTTGCAAGCCTTTTTTAGTAAAACTCCTTTGTTTGTAAGATATTTTGTTTTATTCTGTTTTATGCATTTAACCATTAAAAATTTACATTATAGTTAGGGTGCATTGATTGCACAAAATAAAGACTATTTACAATGTCATACATATAGTTTACTTGATCTAATTCTGTTTCATATTTTTGTTATTTTATATTAAAAAAATACAAAGCAGAAAAGGTTTATGATATCTGAATTGTCAAAGAATGATAGGTGTCATATTTCCGTGAAATTAAAAATCAGACTTTAATTATTTAAAACATAAATTGAATTGCATAAAGAGTACCGATAACCTACAGAAGTTTTACTTCTTGCGCGTGTACACATTCATACACGCACTCTTTAATTTTTTTATTTTAATAAGGTTTGCTAGTAGTTATTACATGTTTTACAAAAAATTATTTAAACTAAATAATTAAATAGAGAACAATAATGCATATCCGTTTGAAAGCAAACACAAATTGCATATTCTTGTGCCCGTAATTTACAATCTATAGGTATAAATTATGATAATGGCGATTAAACTATTGCAATATTGGACAGAACAAAGTTTGATACTTATATTATTGTTGACTAATTGATTATTATATATTATATTTTACAAATAAAATACAATGACGTCCTGGCCAATTTCGGCCACGGCGGCCAGTCTGAGACTAACCAACTGCGTGTCTGCGCGTACACTTGTGCACTATAATATATCCTTTATTATAGTGCACAATTGTACCATCTATTCCTGTCACTCTTAAAACCCGATACTTCGACATGAATAACAGCTAAGGCGCGGGACTGACGACTTTAGGCGCTCTACGAGCCACGGGACAACACCAGCAACTTCCCAACACCGGACTACCACTGAGAATATCTTAATAGAAAACCTCAGTAATAGAACTTGGTCTGACTCGGGATTCGAACCCAGGACTTACGCATATGCAGCAGTAGATGCTAGCCACTGAACTACTGAGCCATTTAATAAATATTTATTTATTTGCGAATCGATCTTGCTTCGCTCAAGTGCGTTTTAATTCTGTGCCTACTTTTTAACAGTAGCCTATGTGTTACAATCATCATCTTCATCATCTTGAACCATACTTTATGTTTGTACTAAAATTGATACAAATGAGTCTAGGAGTTTCAGCGTGAAGAAGTAACAAAAATAAATTTTTGCATTTTTATTAATAGTTCGTGTTCGTTCGTTTGTGTTAAAAAAACGTGTGTGTATACTTATGTATCCACGTAAGAAGTTAAAATTCTTCGGTGCTACAGAACAAAAATAGCTAAAGATTTTATCCCGTATGTCACAATTCTTTGTTTGTAAAAGGAATGCAGCTAATTTCATCATGTCGCTCTTTGGCTATCGGTGTGCGCGCGCATCGTAAAAATTTTACTCTCATATTTTTTTCCAAACGTGACAAAAGAAGTATAACTTCAAAAATGTTTAATCAACTGTTTCAACAAAATTAATCTTTTCTATGGCGTGTGACACCAATACTATAGTATTTTTTTCTGCTCACCTCCATTCATTTTATCCGCTGTAAAGTGTTCCAAGAGAATCACCTGCAAGGCCAATACTAGCACTTGCCTTATAATATGTATTCTACTATATTTGCAAAAGCATTAAAGTGCACTATTACATTAAAGAAAAAGAACCTATCTCTATGAAAGAAGTACATACGTATTAATAATGTTCGGATCGCAGGAGTGGTTCATCATGGCCGCAGATGGGTATATGGCCGTAGCTCGACGCACTTCCCTCTCAGTCAGCGTGCGGCCTAAATATATAAGTAAACAATAAATGAGCAAAAGGTAATCATAATCTAAATAGTTATTATAAACACACATGTTGAAGAATTAATATTAAATAGATAATCAAAAATAACAAACTATACTACTCACTATAGAGTAAAAATAAAAAAAATAATATATTTTCTTTATAGGTAATTTTATATATATGAACTAGGTAATTCACACTCGCTTCGCTTGGGTTCATCTCTGCGTTTTAATTATTAATATGGAATAGATAGACTATATATTATATACCATATAGCTACTCTATCTAATGCAAAAAAAATTTTCAAATCGCATTAGTAGTTCCTGAGATTAGAACTTTTAACAAACAAACAAACTCTGCCTCTTTATAATATTAGTATAGACTAGTTTAGATGTAAAGTCGCTCCTCCACGTGGAGGCGTTATATACTAAATACGTACATTACTTTAAGTATGTTTTTGCTTAATATGTATTTAGCAAAAACATACGTAATGTACGTATTTAGTAGCTAAATATAAACTTATATATATATATATATATATATATATATATATATATATATATATATATATATATATATATATATATATATATATATATATATATATAAATAATTAAAAATTATATAAACAAAATATATTTAGCATCTCAAGATCTAACACTAAAAGTGAAGTATAACTTCACTTTTAGTATTAGATCTGGCGTTAAAGCGATTAGGCGCCTAATGAGTAAAATATCTAAGGACCCTGTGCTGGTCATCGCACCTTAGGTCCTCTGCGCGATGAAGGATAAAGGAGTCTGTCCACTACACTGTCTCATACCATGACCTTTATGAGATGAAATTTGGTAAGAAGATAGTTTGAGACCCTGGGAAGGACATAGAATACTTTTTATCCCGGAAATCGTCCCTTATGGGGGTGAAAATGGGGATGAAAACTTATACAGGGCATCAACCTAGTCTTAATAAATAAAGGCCTTAGATCCAGTTTCCATACCATTAGTACCCTCTTCTTCAACAAGAGAAAGGCTCAAAGTAGCGTGCCCGTTACACACGAGCTGGCCGAGGCTGCGCAGGACCAGGGCCGCAGCAAACACCCGGAGCTCGTGGTCCCGCAGCGTGCAAGGCAACTTCGTGGCGAGAAATTCGAAGAACAGGGTGAAATGTTCCAAGTACAATGTCAACATTGTTGCTGTCTAAACAGAGAATTAGAATGTTATAGACATAAATTGTTTCTATGAAAACTATATTATAACACATACCTAATAGTACACTAGACCGCAAAGAAAAAGGGTCGATTAGGAAATCTTCAATATATTCAAAAGTACCCGACCTGGCTTTATGAGATAAAGACAAAATTAAAGAATATTTTAAAGTGCTTAAATGAAAATAAAAAAATGAATTCAAGCTTGTTATTTTTAATAAATATAAAAATAAATAAAAATGCGTAGTTTTTGCAGTATTTTCGTAAATGTAGATTAGATTGGTCACAGATGTGTCGTTTTCACGCATTTTAGTACTTTGTGTTGGCTCCGCGAACTAGCTCGCAATAATGACCCTTTTTCTATGCGGTCCAGCGTATTTCACTACAATTTAATACCGATTTTGTTGCAATAAAAGTTAATTAAATATATAGACTAAGTTTTTAAGTTCCTCTGCATATTGTTTGGTAGTACGTATCACTCTAATAATCATTAATCAAATTGGTACAAACATACGTACTCGTACTTATATTGGCTACGATTGCATGTAAAATTAGTAAATTTCACCAGAAACAGTTACGCGGGACTAGACAAACTTCTAATCATTCAAACGTATGTATATTTTTTAATATAGCTGATATATATTATTTTCTTTTATAGCAATAATAATGGCTTTTTTTTTCTTTCCTTTGTGGCTTAGAGTTGCGTTAACAGACGCAATACATTCTGCCAGTTTCACGTATTGTGAGGAAGACACGAATGAGTTTGAGCGGTAATTTTGAAATTTAGCATCCATAACGTGGAAACTTGGAAAATAATAATGCTATTTAGGTGTGTATCTGTAAAATATATGTCAAGATAAATCTAAACAATGCACATACCAGAGCGTACTGTATGTAATCGGTGTTATTCATTTTGTCAAAGTTAGTGACAAGATTGAACATCCTGTAGAAGGCAGGCGTGTCTCTTTCATATATCTTGATTTTGTCGACTTGTGAGTAGCTCTTGAACAGTTCAGCCGCGGAGCACGGCGTCGGCAGCCGAGTGGGTGGTGTCGGGAAACCGTTGCTTGTACTTATTAGTAAAACCCTATGGCAGTTTGATATTTAAAAATTTACTTAATCTACAACTATACCTACTATATGGCTATCACGAGTAATATGTGAAAATCGACTGATATTCTCCTTTTTTTAAAACAACATTTATTATTAAAGGAGGAGAACATATTTCATTATTTTGTATACATACTCGACTGCGGGTATACAAAAGAAGTTATTTGTGTATATTGCTGTGACGGTTTCGAAATGACGAAATTGAAATCGAGGTCGTGTAAAATAAATAATGATTAAAATCGAATTAATTATGAGATAAAAGTGTCGTAATTTTGTGTAGGGCGTCTTAAGTTGTATTAATAACTTTACACTTGGTACGACCTCAAAAATAAAAAATAAATGTATTGAAATTGAGACAGGACGCGTCTGACTCACGCCGTCAGCTAGTTAAAAATAAATATTATGAAGCAACATTATCTTAATTAAATAACTAATATTAACTATATTTCGATAAACCTCATATGATCAATAAGTTGTGATCGTAATTCAATCAATAACGGTAAAAAAGAATACTTAATATGCAAATATTATACCAATAATGAGCAAGTACGGAGTACCTCAAAGCTAAATGCGCGATGCCGATGGTGCGGAAGAGGTCGCACTGCGCGGCCGAGCACTCCCAGCGGTGGAAGTGAGCGCGCGCGCGGCACGCCTCGCCGCAGTACACCGCGCGCGAACACGTACTGCATCTGCACGTATTTTACTTTCTCATACGACATCTTGTGTCATTTTCAAAAATATTTAAAGTTCGTCCTTGCTAGCTTCCTAATACAAGCTTCCGTCCCCATTTTCACCCCCTTAAGGGATGATTTCCGGAATAAAATGTATGCTGTGTCTTTCCCAGGGTCTCAAACTATCTTCTTACCAAATTTCTTCTAAATCCGATCATGAGATTAAAAAAAATCTTTTAATTTTCTTGTCCTGACAATATATAAATAAATCCCATCAAAAACATAAATGTAAAAATGGGAGCCAAGTTCAATATTTGATGTCAACTTCACCAACAAAAGAATTGAGATCTGAATGGGTGTCAAGTTCTGTACATAATCCTGATTTTTTTCATAAGAACATACAACATTCTAAAATAAATTTAAAATACAATTTCTTGTTTTTTTCCGCGACAAAAGTGTTTGCTATTTAAAAATAGAACTTCTTAATTTGAACAGTCGAATTATTTACACAGAGTAGATAACTTAGGATAAATTAATATTCAACATTTGACTTGACTAGTTATTATTGATGATTCTTGATTAGTTATATGGCTATAATTGTTTTATAATATGATTTTTACTGATGAACATATCAGTTTACTCTATTTACAATTTACTCACGGTAGCGGGTTAATATCGATCTTGCAGCACATCTCGCAGACGTATTCGGTCGGCGTTGGCAGAGTGACCCAGGCGTATGGCTCTTCGGAGAACAGCACGTCCCCACGCCGTGTGTCCGCCTTGGCCACCACGTGCCTGCCCGCTGTGTCGTTGCGTCTGCCTCAGTCAAATTGCGTATTTTGAATATCTATTAATGTATTTCTAATCTACACTAACATTATACGGAGGTAAATTTTGTAACAAACTTACGTAAGGAATCTTGAAACTATTGATCCGACTCTAAAAATTTTTAAGCTATATTTCGTCAAGTGCTATAGGCTATTTGTTTATTCCGATGAAAATGCCTTTACTATAGGAAATAATAATATCTTTAGTTGTACAAAGTATTGCTGTTGAATAACATTATCCGCTATTGCTGGGCTATCCCCTTCAACAGTTGATTTAATTTAATTTAATTAAACTTTTACAAGCTATTATAAATCGTGAAGACCCCAGTCAAATTTTATGTTTTAAAGATATGAATTCCGTGAGGAATCCGCGAGGAAGGAAAGGAGGCTCAGAAAGCAATTCCGCTGAAAAAAGCCAGCTCTCGCTGGCTTTTTTACTCAAAAGTCGATCTTTTGTATTATATGTTATAGTAATGTTAAGTCCATTATAAAGTTTTCTTATGTACACTCGACACATTTTCATCTACAAGAAACTCTTTAACAGATATACTTTACTCAGTATTGCATTTGATTTCTTTTCAATAAAACCTGTTTTCCTTAAGAGATACATCAACACAATGTACTAGATTTTTTTAGGTTTTAAAATGGTCTACAGAAAAGTCTGCAATAGTGTGTGTCTCCTAAGTACACTCGCAACAACTTTTATATTTGTTTAAAACTAGCTAAAAAATAATTAAGTAACTCCCAACACTAAAAAAAAGTTAAAAATGAAAAAAAAAATTTTTTTTAACTTCATTAAAAGTATCTATTAATATTATGATGACGAGCGTCGCCGCGTCGGGGGATCGCTATGTAATTAAAATAAAAACCAAAATACAAATAAAAAGAAAATTGATAATTATAAAGTATTAGCAGTCTTTTTTTACTTTTTAGTATTTTTTTTTTATCAGGGATTACTTGAAATTTTTATTTTTATTTCAATTTTTTAAAATTACTGACGGATATTATATAACTCTCATTGTGGCTATTCTTATGAGCCCAAATAAGCTATATCTTAGTAATTATCTGAGGTATCGAGCATTCCGTACACTATTTGATCAAGATTAGCATGTCTTGCAAATAGCACCGAAGTAACATTACACCAGGTTTAAATCAATCGGATCTGTGAAAGTTAGTAAGACCCTTTTGTCAAGTAGGAAATGAGTGATGATCATTAAACGCCTGAACAGATCTCCTTAAATTATACCTAAATCATCTCGATCACTTCACCTTTTAAACAAAAAAACCGCGTCGAAATTGGTTCATTCGCTTGGGAGCTACGATTTTTGCGTCGGGGGTTAAAAATATTCGCTAAAGCTACATTTCATTAAAAAGCATTCGCAATATTTTATTAGTATATATACCAATATTGGATTCTAAATTGTAGATATAAGTTTAAGAATTATTGTATAACTAGCGACTCACCCTCGCTCCGTTCGGGTTCGTCCCTAGTTCCAAATGTCATCAAAACCTGACCAGTTATTTCTCATGATGCGTTCCCAAACAGACAGACAAAAATTCTAAAAACTATAAATTCGGCCTCTGTATCGATAATAATGACTATTTCAATTAAATTTTGCAACCAGTATTAACAGATTCGACTCACTTAGATTTTTATTATATGTATAGATATTCTATATAAGATGTGGTCGTGACATGATATGACATTGTTGATAAAAAGTAGAATTAACAAACTTTCGCATTTATAATATTACAGTAATGGAATTTTATTATAAAATATATTAATTATGTTAATATGTAAAGCCTAGATCTATATTAAACGATTAAATACAATTTAAAAGAATATAGAAACCTTAATTCAATAGCATTTGAAGCTGAAGCAAAGTTAGAGTTCAATCCCAAATAGCATTCTGGCAGAATTACTGGTTTATTTGCAATTTCATTTTCTTCAATCGATTGTAACTTTTTCTCCAGCATTTTTATATGACGATCAAATTCCACTGAAACAAGACATTTAAATTATTTATTTTGTATATTTTGTTATACTTTTACAAAACGCGTTCAGGAAATTCGGTCCAAAATTATGATTACCGTATGTCAATTATATATTTGACAGGGTTTATATACTCTCACTACAACCTCAAATTTTCAACGTTGAGAGATTCAATAAGCATTCATTTAGTTAAATAGATTTTAATGAAATTTGGCTACATTATGATATAAGTACCTGGACGACCGTCGACCGAGCTTCGCTAGTTATCAAGGTTATAAGTATATATCATCCACCACAAAAACTTACGAATTGGCGCTATGTGAGTATGCGATATGTCAGCATGAGAGCAGATAAAAAATGGCTCATATAATTAGTTATAAGAATGAAAATGTTTTTTTAAATGTGTTTTTACAGAAAACACAGTTGTATGAATAAACTTAAAAAGCTAAGTTTATCTAAATACTAAATTTAATGCAAATCGTTAGAGCTGTTTCTGACATACACGAAATAAACTTATGTATATTAAAGAATTGCTCATTTAATATTATAAGATAAGATAATAAGATGACACTCACAAGCATTTGTAGCAGAGAGTCCAGCAGATTCAGCATGGCGTATAGCAGCATCAAGGGAAGCACGCGCTTCTGTTCGTTGTTGCAATTCGATGTGACAGTCTGCACTACGCAGATATAATTTGTACAATTGTTCCTTAGGGTAACCATTTGTTATTGCCATTTTTATGTCTGATAAGCATTCCTGAAATCCATATACAATTGCATGCCAACTTGCTAACAATAACAAAAACATAGGAACTAGAAATTCATGACGGCATTGAAGATATCTTATAAAGCTATGCTTTTAATTTATACTACTAATAATACATACAAGACAACTCTGTAAACGGGCTAATTATTTATAAATATTACTATAATTAATGATTAAACTGAAAAAACTTAGTATATAAATAGCAGTCTTTTGAATTATCAATTTGTCAGTTTAGTAACTCACAGTGGCTTCTAGGGAAGGTAAGGGATTTCATTAATATGGATATTAGTATTATATAGTTCTAATTAAGAACTAGATGATATGATGATGATGGATAATGTTTTTGTATTACAAGTATATCCCTTCAAGATGACTGTTTTCCAAACAAAAATCTTGTAAAAACAGAATTTGTTTTGATCATAAAAGGTAAAAAAACATCAAACAAATCATATGAAGTAAAACCTCTTATAGTCCTTTACAATAATGTTCATTAATTTAGGCCTAATAAACAATTCTATTATTTGTTTTTTTTTAATAATGTTGAAATTTAAATAACTACAAATTTTACACTAACTACAAGATACATAAATATATTTAAGTGACTAAATATTAACACAGAAAGTTTAAACTCAAATTTTGCAACATTATAGTATAATTTTACCTGAAATCTTTTCATTTTTAGTAAAGCAGCTGATCTATTTGCAATAGCTAGAGCATACATAAGACTGTTGGGTTTAGCATATAAAACACTATTTGTGTAGCATTTGTAGCTTGCTTCCACAGAATTTACTTTAAATTTATCATTTCCTCTTTGTCTCCACAAAAGTGAAACATCATTACATTTTAAAGCTGTATCTAAGTCGCTGGTCTTTTTAGCATATGTGGCTTTCATCTGTTGCAGCCAGTGGGTAAGTATCTTTCTATAAGGAAATATTTATATTATTTTATAATATTACATATGTTTATGCAATTTAAAACTTCAAAATAATCATTATTTGTGATTAATGTATATAATGGATCCATGTTAAATTGCTTGCAAATGTAGCCTTTTTTAATTCGTTTCAAGACTATTGTACTTACCGAACTCCTTTATTTTTGTAAAAGTAGTTCATTGTATCCACTTCAGTTTCACTGGTACGATCGATCTTTTTTTCTTCTGATGATAACAACAACAATAATATTTCCCACTGCTTTGCACAATCATCTGGCATATCCACGTTATCCATATTTCTATTATAGATTTGTTTGCTTGTAAAATATATGTTAAAACTGTTTTGAACACTGATAATGTGTAATAAATATTACTTAAACACCTTAGAATAGTTATATATGTAATTTTTAAAATATCACTTCTAGGCGAGATAATACAATAATACTATGTACTAGTAACTAAGTTGTTATTAAAATAATCATTCATTCAATGAGACGAGACCGAGGAGTATAATATTCCCAGTTTATAACTATACTCTTTGATAATTATTGTAAAAAATTAATATGAATTATGAATAAATAAATGAAATCGTTTATTTGACATTGACAATAGACATTGAAGGTTTTTCATTTTACGCATATTCTGAGCGATGTAAATATTTTTCTTTACTTAATATAAAAAAAAATTAATTTGATTTTTATAATTTGGTTTTTATAATTTGAACTAGTTTTTGTCGGTTATAAAGTATTACCAGACTTCTCCAAAAATATTTTATTAAAATTCCCAATAATATAGAAGAGAGGAGCCTGTTGTTGAGATTTGGCCTGTCTTTTGCACTTCTTTTTAGCAAATCTTTTTCGCCCGTCTACTGCGCTTGTCTTTTTCGCCTGTCTTCCTCTCCGATCCTTTTTCGACTCTCTCCTCTCTTCTCACCCCCTCTCCTCTCTTCTAATCCCCTCTCCGCTCCTCTCCTCTCGTCCCCCTTTTCTCTTTAAAAAAAACAAACAAACATTTATATTATACATTTATATTTTTTGTTTGTTTGTGTAACTGTTTCTTTAACTGTTTGTTTGTTTAACTGTAAATTTGCTTAACTGTCAGTTTAACTGTCAGTAAGATTAACTGAAAGTTTTATAAACGGCTAGTAAGTTTAACAGTAAGTTAATTTAACTGTCGGTTAGTTTAACCTCCAGTTAGTTTAAATGTCATTAAGTTTAACTGTCAGTTAGCTTAACTGCCTGTTCGTTTATCTGTCAGTTAATTTAACTATCAGTAAGTTTAACTGTCAGTTTCTCTAACTGTAAGTAAGTTTAACTGTCAGTTAGGTTGACTATTAGATTGATTAACGGCTAGTAAGTTTAACTGTCAGTTAGTTTAACTGTCAGAAAGCTTAACTGTCAGTTAATTTAACTGCCAGTAAGATAAACTGTCACTTACCTTGACTGTCAGTTAGTTTAACTGTCAGTTATTTTAACTACCAGCAAGTTTAACTGTCAGTTTGATATACTGTCAGTAAGGTTAACTGTCAGTTAGATTAACTGTTAGTTTGATTAACGGCTATTAAAATTAACTGTCAGTTAAATTATCTATCAGTTTTAGTTTAACTGTAAGTTAGTATTACCTCCAGTTAGTTTAACTGTCAGTTAGTTTAACTGTCAGTTAGACTGACTGTCAGTTAATTTAACTGCCAGTAAGTTAAACTGTCAGTTTGATTAACTGTCAGTAATATAACTGCCAATAAGACTATTAGTCAGTTTTATTAACAGCTTGTCTTGCTCTGCAACTAAGTTAAACTATCAGTTAGATTAACGCCTAATTAGCTTAACTGTCAGTTAATTTAACTAATAGTTTCCTTAATCAGTTAGTTTAACTGTCAGGTGATTTAACTATCAGTAAGTTTAACCGTCAATTTGATTTACTGTCAGTAACGGTAAATGTCAGTTTGATATACGGCTAGTAAGATTAACTGTCAGTTAATTTAACTGCCAGTAAGTGAAACTGTCAGTTTGTTTAACTGTCAGTAATATAACTGTCAGTAAGACTATCTGTCAGTTTTATTAACAGCTTGTAAGTTTAACTGTCAGCTAATTTAACTGCCAGTAAGTTAAACTGTCAGTTGACTTGACTGTCAGTTAGATTTACTTTCAGTTTGTTTAACTGTCAGTTCGATAAACGGCTAAAAAGATTAACTGTCAGTTAGTTTAACTGTCAGTTAGTTTAATCTCCAGTTTATAGTATAGTTTACTGTCAGTAAGTTTACAGGCAGTTATATTAACAGTAAGTTAGATTAACGGCTAGTTAGTTTAACTGTCAGTTATTTTAACTACCAGTAAGTTTAACTGTCAGTTTGATTAACGGTTAGTAAGATTAACTGTCAGTTAAATTAACTATCAGTTAGTTTGGCAGATTCATTTTCAATGTACTCTAAGGTAGTGGCAAACACGAGATCTGTGATTTTTTTTATTTGAAGTACCCTATATGGGTTCACCATATAGTCGAGTCAATAAAAATGAAAAATGACGGAACCCAGTTACAGTAAATGAATTATGGATTTGAATGTTCTTGTTTTGGATTTTAATAGCAAGTTTTGGGATTTTAATTTTTTATGAGTAAAATTTTTATTTTATGAAAAGATTAATAATAAAAAATTAGCGCTGTTTGGAAAATCTTTAAAAACAACCAAAGTTTCTTGAAATCTGCACAAAAAATACATTTATCAAATTTTTTAAATATTTATTTTAAGAAAATAATAACTATTGTAGTTTTTGAGGTTGTTTATATAAGATTTCTTACATAAAACTTTTAATAATTAACAAGGTTCTATCAAGAAAATCGTCCTTAGAAATTTAATTGGGTAATGCTGGCTTAACCTTAAAGGATACATATATTAAAATAATGTATTAGAAAATTGTAGACTTACAAAAATCTAAAAAGTCCACAATAGTTTTTGTCTATCTCCTAAGGTACACTCGCAATACCTACTTTTATATAATATATGTACATATAATAAAACAGTAACTTAGCGAAATCGATGAGCGCATTTCACCCAAAAGTACTGAATTTAACAAAATGTTGTATAGTTATAAATTATTACTTGGATCAACATTTAGTATACCTTTTACAGGAAAATCTTTCATTCCCACGGGAATACACAATAACTGACTCTGTCGAGCCGTTCTTAGAAATTTACATGTCTAACGCTGGCTAAACCTTAACCAAAACAATCTATACTTATAATAAATCTGTAGAGAGGTCGATTCTGTACATGAAATATATTTCCAAAATAACTATCAGAGGGTGATTAGGGATCGATACTGATGCCAAAAATGCAATCAGTAAAATTTTTGTCTGTCTGTCTGTCTGTCTGTCTGTCTGTCTGTCTGTCTGTCTGCCTGTATAACCGTTATAGAAACAAAAACTACTCGACGGATTTTAACGAAACTTGGTACAATTATTTTTCATACTCCTGAGCTGGTTAAAGTATACTTTTCATCACGCTACAATCAATAGAAGCAGAGCAGTGAAGGGAAATGTTGGGAAAACGGGAGAAGTTACTCCATTTTTAAGCTTCCGTCGCGTGTGCAACCTTAATGGTTAAAGCTACACAGAAATCATGTATGACGGAAATGTTCTCCTTAAAATTATATAAAAAATATCCCACGACAGCATATGTCTATCTTTTATGGTTGACTCACAATAACACGTGTAACTCCCGATAGCTTAGCAGTTCGAAGCTTTCCGATTTATATTTGTCTACTCTTACGTTTATAACACTCTCAGTAATCCCTAATTAAAAAAGTTAACATTATTAACTATTCCATAAGAAAGAATAATAATGAGGTACTAAACATTATGCCCCTGTGTACGATCCACTTCTGCTTCAGGAGACACTTCGTCTCCTTCTGATGTCACAATAAAACAACCAGTGATTTGGACCGTCATTTAATATGTTTCTCAATTATCCTTTTAGCTAATTCGAAAGAACCAAACGATAGCGTGATTCAACATACCCATAACTCCATCTATCAGCAACAAATGTAAACTACGCAAATGACAACATAGATTGTACATTCCGCCCACCATGGACCGAACGGTTCATAAGAAAATTAATCTAACCTAATAATTTGACTAAGTCTAATCCATCGTGGGTGAAGTGCAAACAATTTAAAAAATATATAACTTATAAACAGTATTTACACAAAGTTAACAAATAATCAATATAAAGAATTTGAACTTCTACAATATAACTCAACTTAAACAAAACCAATCTTCAACAAACTTAAACGAACAAACCATAAAAAAATTATTTAAAATCTTAAACTAACATTACGCATTATCTTAGTTTCTCAACTTACTGATTAGGTAACTGGTAAAATACAAATTTTAGAAATAGGTCTTTTGATGATAATGCCTTTGCATTTTAAACTTACAACACGCGTAACATTATCCTGACCAGTGTGTTTGTCAACAATTACGCCGTAAAGCCATCTGGCTGGTGGAAGATTTTCTTCCTTAACTAAAGCGACATCTCCAATTTTAGGCTCAGGAGAATGACGATTCCAACGATAACGGTGTAGAAACTGAGATAAATACTCACTAGACCACCGTCAAAAATACTGCCAAAAATACTGCGTCATTCGTTGTACATACTGCCATCTTCGGAGACTAGTTATAGTTGACTTCTCGTAATTGGCCTCTGGAACTAGTAAGAGAGGTTCTCCTACAAGAAAATGTCCGGGTGTCAATGGGTATGGATCCTGTGTGTCATCACTTAAAGTTGTTAATGGCCTTGAATTAAGGCAAGCCTCAATTTGGGAAAGAACTGTACTCATCTCCTCGAACGTCAGAGTTGAGTTCCCGATCGCTCTCTTCAGGTGGTGCTTCGTTGATTTAATTCCTACCTCCCATAATCCACCAAAGTGTGGAGTATAGGGTGGGATACGATGCCAAGTAGTGCCGTTGCCTGAAAGCCATCTAGCGATTTCAACAGATACACTTGACCTTTCTTCAAGAATTAAATTTTTAATCTCCTTTTCAGCACCTACAAAATTAGAACCATTATCGCTCCATAAATCTGAAACGTGGCCTCGCCTGGCCACCATACGTTTAAATGCGGCTATAAATCCTTCAGAGGTCATATCACTCACAGCTTCAAGATGTATAGCTTTAGTAGCCATACATATAAAGAGGCAAATATAACCTTTAGTAGAGCGATGACCTCTACCCTTTGTGGTTCTTATTGCAATGGGTCCTGCATAATCTACTCCGGTCTGACGAAAAGGTCTGTCAGCTGTCACTCGAGATGCAGGCAACTGGCCCATAATGGGTTGATTAGACGGAGGAGCATAACGAATACATGTGACGCATTTGCGGACATACAACTTGACTAAATTCTTAGCGTCAACAATCCAGTACTTCGTCCTAATAAAACTGAGCATTAGCCGTGGGCCTCCATGAAGAGTCCTTTCGTGTGCATCTGCAATGATGAGTTGTGCTAAATGCGAGTTACGTGGAATCAAAATAGGATGTTTCATATCGTCACTTAACTCAGCATTCTGCAAACGTCCCCCAACTCGTAACAAACCATTGCTGTCTAAAAAAGGATTAAGAGACACGAGTTTGCTCTTCTTAGCTACTGATTTAAATTTAATGATACTTTCGATGTCACAAGCAAAGAACTTCTTCTGAAAGTAACTTATACATTTTTCTAACGCCTCTTTTAACTCTAGATTTGTTAGATAAGTAGGAAAAACAGTTTTACGAGAAGAACGTAGCCATTTTAAATAACGCCTCAAATAAGCCACAGTTCTAATGAGTTTTCGAAGTGTTGAGAATCTTGTAAATAATTCTTCATCCAACTCAACACTATCTACAGCATGACAAAGTTTTTTATCTCTTTCTTCCAGTTTGGTATCTTGGCATTCTTCTTGTGGACTGTAATTGATCGTAGCTTCGCTTAGCCAAGATGGACCATGTCTCCACAAGCTTAAATTGTCATAATCTTTAACACCCCTTGACGCACAATCAGCTGGGTTATCTTTAGATCTTACGTGTGCCCATTGACTTCGATCTAAAATTGTCAAGATCTCCGATGTGCGATTCACAACAAAGGTTTTCCATTTACTTGGGTGACTACTAAGCCACGCAAGTACCACAGAAGAGTCTGTCCAAGCGTGAATTTTCTCTTTAGGAATCTCTAATGTCTCTGAAACCTCTAAAATCAGTTTGGCAAGAAGCTGAGCACCGCAGAGCTCCAACCGAGGGATGGAGACTTGTTTAATTGGCGACACCTTGGTCTTCGATGTGACTAAATTCACATTTACTGCATTATTCTTATCTATACTGCGAACGTATATCACTGCAGCATAGGCATGATTTGACGCATCACTGAAACCGTGCAGCTCTACTTCCTTATCATCAGCATTTGTGTGAATCCATCGAGGAATGCGGAAATGGTTAAGTTTTGCAAGATCTGACCGGTAAGTAAGCCATTCCTGTAACAAATGAGGTGGTAGTTCGTGGTCTCAATCTATACCCGACATCCAAAGTTTTTGAATAAAAATTTTAGAAGTAATAATAGTTGGGGCTATCCACCCTAAAGGATCAAACAAACGCGAAATATCCGAAATTACTTTCCTCTTTGTTACTGGAAATTCTAACTGCGGTAGTTTAACACTGTATTCAATTTCGTCTGTTGTACTATTCCAGGTAAGTCCTAACACTTTCTGAATAGTTTCGGATTCTTTTCCTTCTCCTATTTTTAACCTTGACTCTTTATCTCCTCTTCCCTTTCCCGCCTTCTCCATAAACTCCTTATTATTGCTTGCCCATTTCTGCAATTCAAATCCTCCCTTACTTAATATGTTACTAATTTCATTTTTTATTTTCAGGCACTCTTCGACAGTTTGGCAGCCCGTCATAAGATCGTCCATATAAAAATCATTTATAATTTTCTTAACAGCAGCGGGATGATTTACACCTTCATCGTAGGCCACTTGCTGCAGGACTCTAACAGCAAGGTAAGGTGCAGACGCAACTCCGAAAGTGACACGTAACATTCTGTAATGTTGTATTGTTCCAGATTCATCGCGCCACAAAATACGCTGAAACTCATCTGCATCCTCCAGCTTCACCTTCACCTGTCGATACATCTTAACGATGTCTGCTACCAAACAAATAGGATGTTTGCGCCATCGCATAACAATATGCCTCAAAGTATTCTGAAGAGATGGACCCACTAACAGATCGTTGTTCAGACTCACACCATTAGTTCCAGAGCAGGAAGCATCAAAGACGACCCTAACCTTAGATGTCACCTTATCATTACGTACTACGGCATGGTGTGGCAAGTACACCGCATCTGGTTTATCGCGCTGCCCTTCAGGAATTAACTCCATGTGATTAAGATGTAAGTACTCCTTTATTACTTGTGCATATTGTTCTTTAAATTCTATATTTTTTGATAATCTCTTTTCTAGTTCTTAAAATCTCCTAGTAGCAATTTCTTTAAAATTACCCTTTTTGCAGATTGGATTGACGTCACGGAAAGGAAGCTTCACAATATATCTTCCGCAATCATCTCTAGTCACGGTATTCTTAAAAATCTCCTCACATTTCTGTTCATCATCAGTAAGCATTTTCTTCTTAAAAGAATCATCCTCTAATTCCCAGAACTTTCTCAAAAGATCATTGTCATTGCACTGGGAGTGCATACTGACAATTATACTATTTTCTTGGCACGACTTCGGACTTTGTTCTTGACATGAATGAATTTGACCAGATAAGATCCATCCCAATTGCGTGTTCTGGGCTACAGGACACCCGGGAGGACCCTTGATAAGACCTTCAACTAAAATCTGACCATACACGTCTGCGCCAAGTAACAAGTCTATTTTATTTGGTACGTCAAACTTCGGGTCAGCTAACTTCAATCTTGTTAGTTCTGGCCACAACTGAACATTTACTTTCTTTGAGGGAAGAAAAGATGTCAGTTTGCTAAGCACATGGGCTTTGACGACCAAAGTGAATTGAGGATTATGAATTGACCTTAGCTTCATTTCAACTACCGACATAGAAGCTAAAGATTCATTTCCTCCTCCGATTCCGGAAATATGGACCTTGTTGGGAATTTTCTTCAGTCCAAGGGCTTAGACAGCAGACTCCGTGATCAACGAAGCCTGAGAGCCTTGATCCAACAAACATCTATAGACTAAACCAATACTACCTGTTCTTGACTCTACTTCAACAAGAGCTGTAGCCAAGAGGACTTGGCTATAACTATTTGAAAAATAGTTATCTAATTTAGTGATAGTCTCACCTTGTGAAGTGGTTGCTGAAGAAACTACTACACCTTTATCCTTAGATTCGGCATTCTCCGTTCCCTGCATTACATTTGGGGGGTGGAGCAAAGAATGATGCTTCCGTCTACACACTCTACATCTAGTGGATAAGCGGCATGAGTAAACGGAATGATTCAAGCCAAAACAGTTAAAACACAAACGACTGGTCTGGATAAAGCTATGTCGTGTTTCATAATCAGCCTTAGCAAAATCTTTACAATTTATTAATTTATGATTAGCCTTACAAAATTGACAGTTTAAATTAGTATTATTAAAACTAGCATTATTTGAACTTTCAAGTTGGGCGACATTAATTCCCTTTCTTACATTAGGAGCCTTAGATATAATATGCTTAGTATCCAAAAATTCTAATGACCTAAATTTATGTTCTAGGAACTCCCTAAAAGCAGACAAAGTGGGCAATCCTTCAGTTTCATTTGACTTTAATTCCCATTGCTTTCTGGACTCAGGATCAAGCCTTTGAATCAATATGTAAATTACAATAATATCCCAATTACTAATGTCAACGCCTATGTTCTGTAGCGCGCTTAAACATTCGTTCATATTATCTAATAACTCCTTAATAGCACTCGATGATTCATATTGCAAAGATTTCTGGCTCATGAAACGTCTTAGAATATTATTAGATAAATATTTTTTATTATCATACCGATTAGTTAACTGAGTCCAGCAAACACTATAATTCTTATCAGTAATGGGAACATGTCTTAACAACTGTTCCGCTTCTCCTGTCAAATGACTCTTGAGATAATGTAGTTTCTGAACATTATCTAATTTAATATTATTATGAATTAATGACGTAAAAAGATCTTTAAAACTTGTCCACTCCGTATACTTTCCCGAAAATTTCGGTATAGAAATCTCAGGTAATTTAACAAAATAATTAGATTTATCTTGTATATTTGATAATTTTGAAGTTTCTGCTACAGATTTAACTTTATTATGTAATTTATTCAAAACATCTTTTAATTCTGTTTTATAATCAAAGTACAGATTTTCAGTTTGATCATAAATTGAATTTGTATGATAACTAGAAGTTTCTAATTCGTTCTTACTAACTTCTGTAATTATTTGCCGATGTATGTCACAAAATGATTGCCACTGATTCTCTAACGCCTCTAAACGCGTTTCACATATGAGACTGAAATACGATCTTTAGGTGATTTCCTAAAGTTGATTTTACCTTTAGAGATAAGCTCCTTATTATTTTCCTGAAGTTTATTAAATACTTCCATAGCAATCTTTTAATGACACTTGACAATATTATCAAATATTTTTAAAACAGATTAAATTTCAAATTAAAAATAATATAAGTCCACAAACTATTCACTGTTCCGAAATTCACACAATTTTTTCTAAGTCAATGTAAACAATAAAATTCTCTAAGTGTTTGACAATTTGGGACATAGACAAATTTGGGCATAGGTTCCCCGTCAGTTCACTTTTCTTCGATAATCAGTCTATGTCTATACTAACTAAAACTAATAATTTTAATGTTTTATTCTTCTCTTTAACTTAAGGTCCACTTTAGTTTGGCAAAGTATTAAAGAATAAAGTACTCACGGTTTACCGGCACACTTCACTCACTATTATAAACTATCTTCTCATACTCCTGGTCCGGTCGTGTCGTCATGGGTCTTCTCCGTGACGTCATCAGCTGCTACCTCTCGCTCCCTCCAATACTGCGCGGACGTCACTGCCTTCTTCTTGGCTGAAATCCCTGGCTCCAAGCTCCAGGGTTGACACCATCGATGACAAACCGCCACCACGTCGATGCCGACTTACAAAAAACCCTAACTTCTAGGGGCCCGTAATCCGGCTCGAAGGACCAAATGTACGATCCACTTCTGCTTCAGGAGACACTTCGTCTCCTTCTGATGTCACAATAAAACAACCAGTGATTTGGATCGTCATTTAATATGTTTCTCAATTATCCTTTTAGCTAATTCGAAAGAACCAAACGATAGCGTGATTCAACATACCCATAACTCCATCTATCAGCAACAAATGTAAACTACGCAAATGACAACATAGATTGTACACCCTGATGTAAAAATGTATCTTAAGATATACAAAGCGATACGTTGTTAAAAATATAATATAATACAAAAATTATTCGTCTTAAACATATGTTTACAATCGTTTTTTTCAAACATAATAGGTTTTCAATTGTTTTTATAAGATTTAAGTACATAACAAAAATTATATAGATAGATAAGAATAAAGATTAGATTTTTTGTTTGTTTGTACTGGATAGATTCCGAATCTACTCGACCGATTTAGATGAAAGGTAAAAAGATATTTTTAGATCCTTGGATGGACATAGGATAGTTTTTATCCCGGAAATCATCCCTCTCTCTCTCTGGGGTCGGTCCCTCATGTCTGAGGATCGTGGCCAGTGTTAGGGTTGCATCTGGAGCGGATGATCTGCCTCCACCGGTTTCTGTCCAGCTCGTCTCTTACCACCGTGTGGAATTTCGATGATGAGTCTTTAATTTGGTCAGTCCATCTTATTGAAGCACGACCGCGCGATCTTTTGCCTTCAGTATTTCCAACCACAATGAGTTTGTCCAGACTTTCGTCGCCTCTGCGCATTGTGTGGCCAAAATACGAAAGAATGCGTTGTCGGCATAAGGTGGACAAGCGCGTTTTTATACGGAGCTGGTTCAGGATCGATGTGTTGGTGCGTTTCGCTGTCCAAGGTATTCTTAGCATTCGTCTCCAACACCACATCTCGAATGCATCAATCCTTTGCCTTTCACGGGCCAATATTGGTCACGTTTCTACTTCATACAGGAAGATAGGGAAAACCAGTGCTCGTATCAATCTAATCTTAGTTTTGATACCAATTCCTCTTTTCTTGCAGATGTTGTCTAGTCGGGACATAGCATCTTTTGCCATCCCGATTCTCCTTTTTATCTCAGGGACACAGTTGCCGTCATTGTTGATTTGAGAGCCCAAGTATATGTAGTGGTCGACGTTGTTAATGCCAGGTATGTTGCTGATGCCATCTGTTAACTTTCCGGTTCGATCAATTATCATCAATTTAGTCTTTGCTCTGTTCACTGCTAGACCAATGTTACCGCTTGCTGTCTCAAGTCGTTGGAACAGCTCACTCATATCTTCCATGGATGTTGCTACAAGAATGGTGTCGTCGGCATACCGGAAATCATCCCTAATGGGGTGAAAATCTGGATGAAATTTTGTATGAGGAGTCGAACTAGGGACGAACCCGAGCGAAGCGAGGGTGAGTCGCTAGTGTATGAATAAATTGTAGGTAGGCATAATAAGCCTTTCTCTTAGGACTTAGATACACTCGCAATAACTACTATTCAAATCTGTAACGTACCTAAGGACGCACCTGAGCGAATCGCGGGGGTAAAGTTACTATATTTTATTCTTATTATAAAGAAACTGAGTTATTCTCGAAAGAAAACTACTATATAGCTGTAAAAGCAATGTACCATGCTAGAAATAGCATCATTTTCATGGGACAGCAATTAATATAAACATTAGCGGAAAATTTTAAAAAATAAACTTAGGTATTAGTTTTTAGTATAAGAAACTCAAAAAACCCAATCCAATCAGTCAAATCCGTTCACTATAGCTGGGTTTCGAGGTATAAACCTAAATGCACTCTACTAATAAAACCATAACAAAGTGATATTATACGATTTCGAGAAATTGTATCCATCACTTTGTTGTCTATATTGTCACTTAGTAAGGATAATGGAAAGTGGTTCTCACATTCCGACTAGCCGAAAGCAATGGCGTGATAGTCGGCTATTTAGGAGGCAAAATGTGTTTTTTTTTGTCATGTATTCGAAAATAGCTATTATTATTTAGTGTTAGAGTTCATAGTACAAAAGTCAGTAAAATTGGGTTGTGCCATAAGAGATTATCCGTGACGCTCCTTTTTAGAATCCATTATGGACACTGATGCATTAGGTCTGACAAACCTACCCATCCATCCTTTAAAGTGTTATATACGTGCCGGAATTTTTATTGTATTCTTATAGATTAAAATAGTAGAGGTACATATATGATTTGTATTAGGTAGTATTGATTTTAGAAATAAATTCAACCGTTATTATTTAAATGTCATTTTTCTGACATTTAGTAAATATAAATTAGTTGTAAATAAATACTTTAAAAAGTACTAAAAAATACTTAAATACTACTAAAAATATTTTTAAAAACTAGCGCTCTAAAAACTTAGGCCTTTTTTACTACTTATATTAATTTATACATCTATTTTTTTAAGTCATAGTGTTTACAATTCATGGTGTGGGTGCGCTATTAAAGTCAACTGAATCATAATTGAATACGTATACAAAATTTCGTATCTGTACTGTTGACTACTGAGGAGATCCCTCATTTGGAGCTAACCCTGGACGAAGCAGCCAAATCTTGGTGAATTTCATAACGGGCTATAATAATAATTGAATGCGTATATTAAATTTCGTTTCTGAACTATTAACCGTTGAGAAGTTGCTTCGCCTGGAGCCAGTCATAAATGGAAAATCAGATCAAGATGGAAAATTTAAAGCCTGTAAGATAAGAGGAAGTGTTGTGAGGAAGAAGGATAAGAGGTTCTAATTAAAATTGCAAGATTCTACCCATACAAGTATTGAAAGTTAAAGCTTTTAAAAACTGAATTAAATATTATACTCTTTTTTTGTTTTGACAGCAATGTGGTTTAGTTACTAATTATTTTCAACCGACTTCAAAAAGGAGGAGGTTCTCAATTCGATTGTATGTTTTTTTTTTAAATTAAAATTGGTAAGTGTAAAATCACTTCCTTTTAATTGGATTAGATTTATTGTTTTGTACATTAATAACGTGAGGACCTCCAATGATATACCTATATGTGGACTCGTAGATCCGATCCCAAGGGGCTCATGCTTCCGTAGGGCATACAGGCATTACATATAACTTGTATTCTTAACTAATATGTATATATTTGTATTATTAATATCGATTAGATCATCTTGTAACTGTTGTTGAAAACTAGCATACGAATGATCCCCTTCGTATTGAAGGGAGGCCCGTGCCCAGCAGTGGGACGTTAAAAAGGGCTGAATACATACGAATGACTTTGTTTATATCTTGGTGTTCTACTCACATGTACTTACCTTTTTTAAAATAGTAATTTTCCAAACATAATAAATTAACATTAGTAAAACTGTACATGCAATAATCCTAACTTAATCATAGATTATGCATATGGGAAGAAGCGGGCCATTCCCAACACAAGTATCCTCCGGATTACTTACTGGGAAGACTCGAACACAAAAAATGTTATAAATGATTAAGCAATAAAAACATTTTTTTTTTTTAATATCGTTTGCTACTACTATAAATATACAAGTACTAGTAAAACCCGCGGCTTCGCTCGCGTTTGCGTTGTTTAAGTTTCAAGTAGGTAATTCTGATCATAAATATTTTTTGGGTTGTAGTATAACGTGTTTTCCCGTGGGAATGAGATATTCTCCCACGTTAAGAAGTGTCACTCTCCAGTCCTTCAACTCTGTCCACACAAAAATCACGCAAATCCGTCATTCCGTTTCGACGTGAAAGAAGGACAAACAAACAAGCAAACAAATAAACACACTTTTACATTTATAATATTAGTATGGAGATGGATATAACAATCGCTTTATATAAAATAAAATGATGGGCCAATATACCTTTTTTGTTATTTATATTCATTTTAGATCGGTTGCATAAATTTTAGAGTTATTGGATCAATCATAAGCTTACTGGAAAGATACATTTGTATAAATATGTAATACAAAATTAAGTCAGCTGGTTCCTGTTTAGTTTTTAAGGATTCTTCAGTTACAAAATATCTAATCCGTTGTGAAGCATAAAAGGAGTATTTCTAAACAAATAAATCTAATATTGACCAATGTAAGCATTCTGTCCAGTAATGAAAGTGTCAGATAACTTTTTTTTACTTTTTAGTGCCTGGATCTGGAAGTCGGTTTTTTTAAGTTTTTATTTATTATGCTTCGTAATTAATAATAGGCCCCGACCCGACCCGTTAGGAATGAAACCCTAAAATGTAAAGAAACTCTCGGGTTCGTCCCTACTTACGTTTTAACATTTAGTATAGATTTCTCATAAAAAAGGAACCTATATGTTGACCCGCATAACCAGCTACCGCCATACCAAATTTCATCTAAATCCCTCCAGTGATTATTCCGTGATGCGGACATACTGACAGACAAAAAATCTAAAAACTCAGTCTCTATCGAAAATAATGTCTATTTCAATAAGATATTCCGAATTTGAAAAATATTTAATGTACAGATTCGACTTAGCTACAATTTTATTATATGTAGGTATAGCTTTGCCATATTTCTAGGTTTGTATCTCATTTTTGTATATAAAATGTCAATTCAAATCATTCAATCATCATTGTTTTCAATAAAATTTACATATTTTTTATAAAGACATAATATGTTTTTATGAATTCATAGCTTATAATAAAACAAATAATAATTGCAACTTTTTAGGAACGTAAAGGTCATTCCATATTATAATGCAAATAGCAACAATGATACCCATTAACCTAAAAAGCGACCGCAAGTTAGACTTTTGGAAATCGAAACACGTAAATACTCCAGAGCTCGAGAAAATTATTCGGTACGCGAAAGCTTCGATGCGTGTTGCCGTGCGTCGCGTACCTGCGCTGCGCCGGCGCACCTGTCTTCACGGCGCACGGTGTCAGTAGTCAGTACGTACTCAGTAGACCACCGACTGCAGTGTAAGCTAAACGCGCCATGACTGCGCTTTGTAACGCAAAACCGTCGTGAGTGTCATTATAAAACTCTAGTGTGAACTTTAACATGGATGTCATTTATTTAAGTGTTATCTTCGCTTTTATCCAAGGTTTGTTTCTTAATTTATAAGATAGTGTTTCTGTTAAGTGAGTGAGATTTAGAGAGTTCGCAACGCAGCAGAAGATGGGCCACTTTCTGACGATCTTCTGTCGAATTGATATTATTATAATATTATTTTCACTTTGTCGAATTATCTATAGTTATTAAGTACTTTAACCATTTTTTAAACATTTTGTGCATTATTTATAATATTGGATAAAGTCGAAAGTTAAATAAAGTTGACATATATTAATTTTGACTTAAAAAAACATTACAAAAGTAGAAGACCCAAATTTCGCATAATAATAAACTGAACACTATATGAGCAAAATGCAATATTTAAAGCATATATTGTCGTTGCTTTTACAGTAAAAAATTGTGTACTAATAAGCAATGTAAATTAAAACTTTGTGGCTTTTTTATGGTACTTTTACAAATTATTCTGTATTGAACAAACATTCATCTTAAATGACAATGTTTTTTTATTATTAATAAAATATAGTGTCTTGTACTTTGTAATTTAAAACTATTGTGACTAATGTGACTCAACTGTTGTAAAAAATTATAATATATACCAACTGCCGCTTTACATCATACAACGGAAGCCCTTAGTTCCCCTATTTCCCGTTCCAGCTGAACTATAAAAGAAAAAACAAAGTTGGCCAGGATATTTTTGGAAACGAAAAAAAAATATTTTAAAGCAAATTTACTACCATGGTAAGCAAGCCCATTGGGACTATTGAGTTTTGACTAGTAGAGTTTTTACATCTACTTACTCTACATATGTATATAGTAGGTAAATGTAATGTTTTTACTGTCTTTTCAGTTACAATTTTCTATTTTAATTCTATAGGTAAAAAAAAATTGTATTTAAATTTTTTTTTGGCATTAGACAATCAAAATATCGACGATAAAAAATAGAGCTATCAAAGTCAAATGCATTTTTGTATGTACATTTTTAATTACGCAACAAACAGCAGTAATAAATTGCATGCCTATAAATATTTATGATGTAAAACGATATCGCTGTATACTTTACAATAATTTATTTTTTTATAATAATTAATTATAAAAAAATATTCCTATGTTTTGTTTTGTTCAAATACGTACATATAATTACATTACTTAGGAACGTATATAATATTATTGCATATAAAATAGAATTTTCGCTCACTATAAAATTATAGAAAATTGCGATTCCTTAATTTTACTACAAACTTCAAACGATACTCTATCTAAAATGTACTAGTTGAAACACTTGAAAATAAAAATCTCATTTAGTGAAAGTTACATTATGAGGTTGCATTCCAACACGAAAGCAGGGGTCAAAATGCCGTCAAAGAAGTCATTTGCCTTATCATTGTATACTTCTCATGGAGGTTTCTACATCTCTTGCCTATGACTTTATTATCATTTATTATAATACTTTCACAACTATTCCAAGCTATGCATGGTTGCGCTTTAATATGAAAATCGTTAAAGCCGTTTATTATACTGCAAATAAGTATAATGTTAACTATGTTTGTTTTCTACGTCGCCAAATAAGCAGTATACCTTTTTATTTATAATTATCGATATAGGAAAAGACAAATTACAATTTATTGTTTTAAAATAATGTATAAATTCGCGTAATTAGCGCCAGACGGTAAATTAAGAGGCACTTTCACCCGCGCTGGCATCGGGACGCAAACTTTTACTTTTTAAATTATCCACATTGACCAAAACAATTCATCCACAAAGACGTCATTTGATCTCTTCAATACATTGCATTCATAACAAAAAAAAATCTAGTACCTCCAAGCCCGAACACAATATCTATACTAATATTATAAAGAGGTAAAGTTTGTGATCTTGTGAGTTTGTGAGTTTGTGGGTTTGTGAGTTTGTGACGTTGTAGGGGGTACTCTCTGGATCTACTGAACCGATTTACAAAATTCTTTTACCAATAGAAAGCCACGTTCTTTCTGAGTGTCATAGGCTATATATTAACCCGAAAAATGCCAAGGCTTTTTCATGGTAGTCGGATTTGCAAAGTAAGTCGGAGAAAAAACGGTCGAACGAAAACGTTTCTTACGAAAGCTGCCTTAACGATGAGAGATATATGATTACGTTCTAGAGAAAAGTTGTAGAGCTTAATAATGCCTACAAAAAAGTCAGCGACAGCTTATGTCTAACTTTTATATTTAAGTCACATAAAGTAGTTTTTTATATTAAAAAAATAATTTAAATCGGTAGGTCATGTTTATTGGTCATATTATCAACAATTATGAATTCTTATTAAAATGAGTAAATTTATCGTCTAAAATGTTTAAAACAAAAGACTTTTCCATTTTACTGCATATAATTTGGACAAATGGTTAATGAGATAATGCAACATATTCGTAGGTATGGACGAACCCGAGCGAGCTGTTTCTCTGTTTTTCTGTTTGTACGGGCTAATCTCTGAATCTATTGGACCGACTTAAATGAAATTTTGCATAGCGGTACCTTATATCCCCGGGCAACATCTTAGATACTTTTTATCCCGGAAAATTAAAGAGTTCCTGTGGAATAGTTATGAAACTATAACAACTTATACACCTTAGTACACAACAACTTACGCACCTAATTTAGTAAAATTTGGCATGCTGATACCTTATATTGCCGGTCAAACAACAGGTTACTTTTCATCCCGGAAAAATGAACCGTTCCCCTGGGATAGATCTGTTTGTGCTTTTCTAGAGGTGAACCCGAGCGAAGCGAGGGTGAGCCGCTAGTAAGTTATATGATATTTTTCATGTATTTAAAATATAGATTTTATATATTGGATCCATGTGTGTGAGCTTGCCAAGTTAACTTGGAATCTAACGTAAGGCCAAGATATTTTTTTTGGTATGTTTGTCGAATCGTAACTATAATAAGGTAATCGTAAATATTTAACTATAATACTGCTTTTGTATCTTGATCGATATTTCTAATAAGTCTTTAAAATAGAGTTTTTCTTACTATTGAAAACACGTTAAGTTTCAGTTAGGCTCGCGAGTAGAAGGCTCCTTTACCACCAAAAAATGTTATACATATTTGTATTACATAAGTATATTAATACTAGCGACTCACCCTCGCTTTGTTCGGGTTCGTCCCTAGGTTGCTTCCTCATACAAATTTTCATCTCATTTTCACCCCTGTAAGAAATAATATCCGGGATAAATACTATCCTTTGTCCTTCCCAGGTTTGGTTTCTTACCGAATTTCATCTAAATCGGTTCAGTAGTTTTGGAGCATATGCGGTACAAACAATCAAACAAATCTTTTCTCTTTATAATATTAATATATATTATTTACTCATCTTAAAAATTAATAATGAATAGTATTTGCACCGATCGCGCGAACCAACACAGTTTTTCGGGTAGGTATACAACAGAGGAACCCAAAAGGCTTTTCTCATAAAGAAGCAATAATTTAGTATGTTATCATTATTTACGGTACCTGCAAGAATTATAATGTAAAGATGTGTGTAAAGTGTAGTGAAAAATCAACGATTCATCAATTAAAATTCAAACAGACATAGGTTCAGAATTAGTTATGTGTAATCTGGCAACAGCGATCCTGTTGTTGACCCTTTGAGTACGGAATATTAAAAATACGTTTTAAAATCGCTTACACTTTGGACATTGACCAGTGAAGTGTAATAGTAGTGCGATTTCTGCTCACAGCTAAATAACTTATCGCTTACTATATCACGCTTTCGACTATTATGACTTAAATCTATTCATGAAATAATGTATTCATAGGTAGGTACTTTTGTAATATTAAACCATGACCAATATTTATAATATTCCCAGAGGGATGAAAATACGCCCGAAAATAAGTGCACTGGCTTGCGCAAGCCACGCCTACTTCGGACACTTTATCAATAAAAAATATTTTAACATATTTAACGGAAAAAAATTTATTACAATGTTTCAATTTTCAAATTATGTTTCAAATAATGTTTCAAATTACTTATACTATAGTTAAATAATTTTTTTTCTGCTTAAACATGAAAATTGCAAGTGTGATAATCGGTAAAAGTATAAATTTGAGATGTTTTTCCTTTCTTGGAGCTATTCATGAAAGGCTTCAGAATAGAAGCCCGTTGGAGAAATAAAATAAAATGTTATTTTTCACTTTTGAGTTAAGTTAAAAAATCTAATTAGGCATCAAGTATAATGATTCTCGGTGTTGCTACTTTATTAAGCAGGACTGGTTCATGTTGTTATAATAACCTTATCAACTGCGACTTAATCACAACTCTTATCTTTGGGGGCTTTCCAACCAGCTACTGATACCATAGTAACACTTTTACTCTGTGGTTTAATCCATTAGTAGGGCTCGGTAAATTATTTTCGTAAATTTTAACTCTATTTTCGCTTTAACTCTAGGACCATCTCTAGGATAAACCTATTTGTAAATTTTTTTTCTAGATACGTAATCCTGGTGCTTTGGGGCATTAACACTACTACTACTAGTGAGTAATTCGGGAAAGTAAAATTTTTGAGAGCCGGGCTGCTTCGTACTATCGTGTATTGCCACAAAACCACTTGATGCGACGCTGTGGTGGTTATCTATCCCCAATGTTGTGTGGTGATGTAGTTGCAGGATGTTTTCTTATATCCTTTTATACTTATATATAACCTCTCCTGATATTGAGGTACGTGTATATATAAATATAAATAATGATTATATTGGCATCAAATCAGGCGAAGCGAAGGTGAGACGATAGTTAGATATACATATAGAAATAAACATGTGATACTTTATATTCAGAGTAATTAAGAAGGCTCAGTTCATATACCTAATACCGTGTTTTCTACCGTTGGCCGTCTATATGCGTCGGCGCAACAAGTAATGTGTTTGACCTAATTTTAAAACTGCACCTTTAAAATAGTTACTATATTTACTATTTCCAAGGGCATTTAAACCCTTTAAGTAATTATTATTCAGAAGATGTTATCATTGTATAATAAAAATTACTTTCAATGGCCTCATTAT